GTAAGGCAAACCTCTCTATTTGTAATCCGTCTGGATAGCTTACACGCTTTAACAAGTGCCTTACAGCAGGAGTTTGCTTGCTGCTGCAAGTCAGTTATAGATGTTGCCTCCTGAGTATGTGGCTAGCACATGTATTTCCTGTGCTATAGCAAAGGAAATACATTATCTATTACACTACTCTCCTTTCTAAAAAAAAATTAATTGCTTTTAATTAAGAGTATAAGAAAGCAAGTCTACTTTTATTCTAACGTTACTAAACCTAATAATTCTTTATTTAGTTAGTCTAATATTTAATTATATATATATAGTTAAATCTATTACGTAATATCTTTATTAAATTTTCTGTACTCTACCTCAAATCAACTAATTAGGCACCTCTTTCGCTAGATGCCTTTCAAAATAATCCCCACCTTTTTCACTAGGTGCCTTTCAAAATAGTCCCTAAGCAGGTCTTTAAAGCCCTTGAAGTTTAAGATAGGGTAATAGGTCAGGTCCTCTGGCCAGCCTACCCATCTTGCTCGTACCTTCCATGCTTTGCCCACTCTCTTGACGTCGACTATAATCTTCGACCTCCCACGCCTCCTCTTCTTCTGTCTTTACTAGCAGAGGCTGTGGGTACTCCTGCCCTGGCAGAGGGTCGGCAGGGTCCTTGGTCAGCAGTGATGCATGGAACACGTTGTGAATCCTCATCAACAAGGGCAGTTTTAAACGAAAACTCTGCTCAAGCCTCTTTATAACAGGGAGGCCTAATCTCTATTTTGAATCGAGTTTCTTATAAGGTCTTGTTATACTAATATTTTTTGTTAATAGCCAGACCTTATCTCCTTCTTTAAAATCAATTTCCTAGCAATACTTATTCGCCTGCTCTTGTTACTACAACTATGTAGCCTTTAGATACTCTTATACTTACTTCTAACCCTTTTTTATTAGCCTTACTAGATTCTTAGCCTTCCTTAGGGCTATGTATTTCCTTACTATCTCTATAGACTTAGGCTTATTAAAGCTTATCCTTAGTTAATATCTGTATATAATCATAAATAGTAATAGCTATATAAACTTAGATACTATTACGTTTATAGCAAATTCGATGTTTAAGAGAAGATTATTCTAATTATCTTATACAAAATCTATATAGGCCTTTAGGTATTATTCTATTTCTATATTAGAGACTTTTGTCTAGCTATCTATTTATAAATAGTAAGCTATAAATAACTTTATTTTAATTCCTAAGATTTAGTACTATTATTTTTATACTTTGTTAGCAAACTATAGCTTTTAGTTAGATATAATTATCTAAGGAAGCTTATAAAGCTTCTATATATTCCTATATAATATCTTAGCTGTCTCCTCTAAAGTCATACCCTCCTTTACAGCTATACAAGGGATATAATAGCGTTTCTTGCTTAGCTAATTAATAACCACTAAAATAGCATTATAGTCTTCTGATGTTAGTAATCCTGTAATGAAATCCATTAAGATATCCTGCTAAGGGTGCTTAGGAATTAGAAGAGGTTGCAATAGGCCTATAGAGAGCTAATGTACAGGTTTAGTCCTTTTATAGACATAATAATTCTGTAAGAATCTCCTGACTAATATATATTTATTTAAGATATAGTATCTATTATTCGTAATAGCCTTTCTTATCTTTGTATAGCCTAAGTGCCTAGTTTCTTTGCTCTTATAGATCTCTTAAATCACATCTGTCACTATTATTACTAGTACTGCTAGTTTTTCTCTGTACTATAGCACTCCTTCCTTATCTTTATAATTTTAAATATTATATCTAAATATTTTCTTCTTTAGGTTTTTTATTTATTTCTCTATCCTAATCGCGTTAAACGTCTTGTTAACCTGATTCTCTTTCTTTACTCTCTTTTAGAGCGGCAAATCTTCTTCCTCTGGCAACGCCTACATTACTGAGATCTTTAGGTTATCTTTTACTTCCTTAGATAGCATATTTGATTGCAGAAGAGTTTAATACAGATTAGGATTCTCCTTTGCTCTTAGAATCTTAGTTTCCCTTTAAGTTAATATGTTAGCTTTTCTATTGTTATATTAAGATAATAACTTTGACAAAAATGCATACTAATATATTAGCTTCTTTATTAATATAAAATACTCTAGAATCTTATAATTTATAAGTATTTAGACAGGATTCTCTTCTAGTAAGTATAACTTTAGTGATTATTTCTTAAAATAATAAATAATAATTAATAGTTCCTTATTATAAATTATGTAATTATATTTTACTAATGTTATACTTATTAAGAAGAATGCTACAAGATAGAGTTCTTTATCCTTCCCTTGTTACAAGAGCACTTTACTAACTATATAATTGCTTACATTATACTTTATAACTGTCTCTTTCTTAAGGTTAAAATAAATAAGGACTAGCTCCTTTGAAATAAGATCCTTTAGGGCCTAGAACGCCTTAGTATAGCGGTTATCTCAGGTGCGCCTTGTATTCTTCTTTAACAGGTTATTTAGCGGCCTTGCTATCTTGCTAAATCCTAAGCAGAATTGTTAATAGAAGTTAACAAACCCTAGGAATCTTCGCACTATGCAGACATCTCCTAGGTTAGGTTTCTCCCACTCCCGAATAACTTATACGCGCTCTAGATCTATCTGAATGCCCTCTGCTCCTTTGAAATAAGATCCTTTAGGGCCTAGAACGCCTTAGTATAGCGGTTATCTCAGGTGCGCCTTGTATTCTTCTTTAACAGGTTATTTAGCGGCCTTGCTATCTTGCTAAATCCTAAGCAGAATTGTTAATAGAAGTTAACAAACCCTAGGAATCTTCGCACTATGCAGACATCTCCTAGGTTAGGTTTCTCCCACTCCCGAATAACTTATACGCGCTCTAGATCTATCTGAATGCCCTCTAGAGTTATAATCAACCTGAGATACTTCACTAACTGTGTATAGAACTCGCTTTTCTTGATATTAGCCTGAATATCACTTTCGCAGAGAATCTATAAGACCTTCTGTATGTATTGCTTATGTTCTTTTTTTAATTAGCTAAAGATCAAGATGTTGTCTAGATATAGTATAACAAATTTTCTAAGCACCTTTATAAATTTCTTATTTATAAAGTGTTAGAACATCACTAGTATAAAGGTTAATCTGAATAATAATACCTTATATTAGTAGTTGCTATATATAGTATTAAACATAGTAAGTTTATAGTCCTTCTTAGTTGCTAAACAAATCTAGTAATATACCTATTAAATATCTAGCTTAGAAAAGACTATAACTTTTCTAAGAAGACTTATAGTCTTATTGATTTGAGGGATGACATAGTTATTCTTCTTTATAATAGCGTTTAGATCCCTAAAATTAATACAGAAACGGAGTCCCCCTTAGAGTTTCTGTACCAGAAGAATTAGTAATATAAATAAGGTAGTGCTTAGTTTAATAAACCCCTTCTTAAGATGCTCCTTAATGTATTTCTTAACCACCTTAAGCTTATCTAAGCTCATCTTACATAAGGGCTGCGTTTAAGGCAGTTCAGCACTTGCTTCTAGTTTAATCTTATAGTCATACTCTTCTTTGTGCTCTAGAAGAGTATCAGAAGCCTTCTTTAAGAAGACATTTATAAATTCTTGAAATTTTATTAAAAGAATCTTCTTTCTTAATGTATTTATTTATGTCCTCTATTGTAATAGCAAACATTTCTGCACTAGAGGTGATTAATAATTACTTAAATACTATAATGCTTACAGGCTTAATGTTATGCTAGGCTGCTCTGGCCTCTTTGACCTTCCTTCTGTAGATGGTAGCTGTGATTATCCTGCTACTTAGAGTCTTCTTTACCTTAATAAGGCGTAGAGGTTGTGAAACGGCTAAGGTTATTTTAGGACGCTTAAGAATCTTTGTCACTTATAATAGTAATGCTCTGATCAGGTTAGCCTAAAATTTAGCTATATATATATAGCTAAATTTGTTATATAGCTTCTTTATTAGTTCTTTCTTTGCTGCTTGCTCTTTAGCCTTAGGCTTGTTACTCTGACTTTTGTAGTTCTACTAAAATATAAGTTACTCTTTATAATTATAATCCTTTGCAAACTTTACTAATAAATCTCTAGGATCTAGAATATAGTTATGTAACCTTATTTACTTCTTCTCTAAGATTATAAAGTATATAGCCTTTATTATATAGAAGATCTGTGATCTTTACTAGTGTTTACTAACGTATATAAATAAATAGAAGGCCTGAGAGATAAATTAATAGATCTTACTAGCAAAATGGGCTCTAGCACGTAATAGTCCGCCGTACTAGAGTTATTGGGCAGGACTGACAAGGCCGAAACGCCAGTTCAAATCTCAACTCCGATGATATTCAGGGCCTACATGTCATTCCTCTATCCAGTCTATCATATCAAATATAATCTCTACACATTGCATATTGTCGTTAGCATTGCCTGTTTCATTGATCTAGTCATAGCTGGATCGTTTCTGTTCCTCAACAGATAACTCCGTCTTTGTGATTACTGTTCAATGGCGGAGGTTGTCGGCACAATAGCAAGCGCTGTGACTCTAGCAGCCCTGTTTAAGCTTTGTGTTGAGGCATTTGACGTGATTCATACTGCACAAAAGCAGGCAATCGACCTCAAGAAGCTCACGTTGAAGCTCAATATCGAGAAATGCCGGCTGTACACCTGGGGAGAGGCCATGGGGCTTACCGCTGTCGTGCGGCCTAGTGCAAGGCAACCGCTAGATTCTTGCCCGTATGCAGAGATAGTCCACGAGATTTTGGAGCTTATTCTAGATATGTTTGGAGATTCACAAAAGCTCAAAACCAAATATGGCTGCGTCACCATAGATGTCAAGAACGAGGTTAATATGGACACAACACTTTCGCAAAGGAGCGCGCTGCAACAACTCAGTACGTCATTTGACAACTTCAGTATCAAATCGGCTACTCAGGTCAAAAAGCGCAGCCTGATTAAAACAGCTCTTTGGGCTATCCATGACCGTAAGAAATTTGAGACACTGGTTCATGAGGTAAAAGGCCTCATAGATGGCCTTCAAGACATTACCAAAGACCTTGGAAGTTTGGTCGTTCAGGAGCAGATGATTCGATCCCGTATCCTTAGGATAAACGACGTCAGAACCCTCGACTGGGTTGCCGAGATCTGTGAAAGCAACCATCCAGCCATCTCTGATGCTGCATCTTTAAAAGCAGAATCATTGTCCGAGGCCAGCACTTTCCGTCGCGGGATTCAGCATTGGAAGGAGAATGTTGAGGGCTTTAAGGATTCTGATGGCTCGGATACATCAGACTTCGAAACAGTCATCGGTGCTATGGAAGATATGACACTCTCTGAGATCAAGCAAATAACCTTTCATCTCCTCAAAGACATGCAGTCTATGAAGACTTATAACGAAACGCAGCTGTCAGCTGGCGTCAATAGCGATGCTGACCTAGCAGTCATAGACCCCAGCAAGCTCGATTTTTACCGAGTACTGTACGACTACGAACCAGGTAGTAAGGTGGAAGGTGGAGATCTCAAAGTCAACAAAGGTGACCTAGTTGCTGTCCTTTCTAAGAAAGATCTGAAGGGCAATGAAACAGAATGGTGGTATTGCCGGTGTCGAGATGGGAGAATAGGGTATTTACCCAGCAACTACCTCCTCATAATCAGACGACGAGATCACAGACAGCAGCAATCCAGCAGCAATGTCACAGAAAATGACGAACTCCGTGCTTCTAATCTAGAGCAGGAATCGTCTGCAGTCACAGACCAATGGTGGGCTGAACTTGGCCGCCGAGCTGACCATCAGTTCACTGAAACGAACGCAATGCTACACAATATATACGAGTCGGAGCGCAGTCCACAGTTCAAAAAGCACTTTGGTACCGTTGAAAACTGGTTCAAGAAACTGAGCGAGAGCGAGCAGTGTGCGGCCCTTGTCTCGTTGCACGACCTCTTGACCCAGCCCCAAATGTGCTTTCTAAATCTTCATTACAGCGACAAGCTTCCACTTTTGTGGCTTTGACACTAAAGCAGCGATAGTCTTAGAGATGCGAAAAGAACTGAGGGACAACGAGTCGCATGAAATTCGGACTTTGCAGAATACCATGCCATACGGGAAGAGGCAATATCTAGGGCGTTTACAGCAGCACTGTATATGCAGAGAGAGTTGAAACACCAGACATTGAGACGACTCACGCAGCAAAGCCGACCCTAGCAGCATCCCAAAGAATAACACTGGCCAGGTGGCTTGACAGAAATAGGAGAAGGCTATTGGAATATTGGTGGATGGGCTTTGAGCATGGAGATTGGATATGTCTGCAACGAATGACGAAGGTATTGCTTTCATTATTACTGGTCACAGCAAGAGTCGTCAGACTCCAATAAGAGGATTGACAACGAAAATGATGCAGTCGACGTGGTTAACACTATTACTGACAGCCTTGCGTTCTGGCATCAAGAGCCCTACTGTGGCGTAATCGGTCGGCCTGCGCACCACGTTAGTTGATGAACAGGCTAAATGAATTGAGTGTAAAGAGCAAGTGGTTCTATCTAATGAGTGCGTAGAGAGCATACTTATACGTACAGATCCTGCGTACCCAAGCGAAATAGTGCGAAACGCAGATACCAAAATTACATGCAAAATTCAGGCGAAACGCGTAGCAAAATAAGCCAGAATGCACTCACAAAGTTCAACGTTAGTCTTGGTAAAGTCTTACGTAGCTGAAAGACTGTTGTCCTTGATAGGTTTGTGTCCTAGAGAGACAGCATGATAGGGCTGGGACTCTGACAGTTTAGGAATTAGTTGTCCATCTTGTTAATCCTGATAAAGGGTTTCCTCGTTAAATGACGTTTTTATTATATATTTCTAGTAACTTATGCAAAATGATGGCTGGAGGACTTTGACATTCACAATTACCTACTAGTGTTCTATATTAAGATGAAGGCTCAGGTTTCATGGCGCAATTTGGTAACGGTAGGACGTGATATAGATAAACAGATGAACTTTGGAACCGAACACATTTGCTTTGAGAAGTTTCTTTTTGGGAAGAATAGGGTGGGAATCGTTTGTCTTGTGGTGCTTCTCTCGCTGTGGAGCAGAACTGATATGGTATGCTAGACGTATGATGCTTAGGAGTCTAGGATCGATCCTGCAGAAGATTGAAATATATACACAGAATGTAGTACCAAATGCCAAGGCCTCACATCGCTGGTGCTAACGTGGGAAATGCTTCAACGCTGGGCCTAGATATCTAGATAGAAATGGCCGAATTGCCAGTCATGACGATAGTGCTCGAATTTTCATGACGAAAAATGCCTCCATTTCCCTCACTCTGCGGCAGTTATCAGCTCAGCTTGAGTATGCTAGAGGCATACATGCATCAATCTATCTCGGTAACGTCTGATCTCTGATTAATTCCGTCTCGCCTGAACGTTGCCCAGAAGTATGGAAGTACAGTTCCGAGTAATTTGCAAGTCTCCGTTCACCCACGTTCCAACTCCCAGCCCAGCGACCGACCAGTTATGCCATGTGTGTTGCCACCAACTCCTCGTCTACTCATGTAACTCCCAGTCCTGTTGTCAAGCCGTGCCACTTCTGCTTCCTCGCAGTATTCAAGCCGGCATCTCATGAATACTCCGCATTTGTGGCCCATATGCCGGTCGGTACGGAGTATACTGCCTCACCCCGTTAGAAGTAACGGCCGGGTGCAATGTCATATCTAACTTTTGGTTACTGAATGAGTAGCTGAAGAGATTAAGGATGCATCATCCACGTTACCGAAAGCAATCATGTGGTCTCTATCATTGACACGTCGCGTGGAGCCACAACCGCTCTCTCATCAGCAGGCAACTCCGGTTTGTGGCCTGACCACGCTGGACTCCGTAGGTCACCGTTCGTGCTATCTCTACTGTGGGCATCGGAGATGCCGGCGTAGCTTCCGTAGGATTTTGGGCGGAATGGGTGTTCGATTGGGGGCGGCGCTTTTTGGCGGCGTTTGCGTAGGAAGCTTAAGAGTAGCCAGGCGAGGGCGGCGAGGATGAGGGCCCCGACGCCGACGCCAACCCCGATTCCGATTTTGGAGTCGGTGGAGAGGCTTGGGTCCTTGGAGGGAGTGATCGGAGGGGAGGCAGGAGAGCCGGCGATGGGAGTTTGAGATGTGGAGCTGCTGTGAGATGGGGATGCGGTGTTTCGAGCAGGAGAGTCGTTGGTCGCGGAGGGACTCACTGTGATTCGAGTGATTTGAGTTTGGTCTGCTGCAGCTGTGGTGGGAGAATCAAAATCCGAACTAGTAGAAGGGTTTGAGTTGGTATTGGGAGGTTCGTTTATCGTCATACTCGGGGCCTGACCGGGAAAATATGAAATTCTACCTGGTTGGTCAAGGACGAGATTTGCAATATCTGGAATCTTTGAGGGAGCGGCGAAAGCTATATTGGCATTCTCTTCAGGACACCAGCATGGCTGGCCGTTGAAAAAGGGAAAGTTTTCATTGTTGCTACTGTCACCAAATTGGTTGTCACAACAAGACCATTGGTTAGACGTGCCATTGCAATAGCTATGACCCACCCAGTAGGCATCTAGAAGCCGAGAAGGATCAGCCGTGACCTCCGCGATGTATTGTCCAAGGCTTTTACCTGAATTGCATTTTGATGGGCATCGACTGGAGCCATAACTTTCGTCGGTACAGCCGGCAGTGTAGACCATGCCGACTATTTGCAGTAAGCAAAAGAGGGGATTGGAAAAAGATTTGCTGGTAGAACTGACCTTCGTGACCATAACAAGCATTGGCTCCGAGACAATTGTGGCCAACTCGGCAGCATGATTGAACTCCTTGACTGACCTCTCCACACGGTATGTAGCTGTTTGTTGTACCGTCATCTCTGGGAAGCCTTTGTCCTTGTGACCAATAACAATCGACCACTTCATATGCATGAACTTGGAGGGAGATGAGCGAGAGAAATCGAAGTACGTGGAAAATGAGAAAGCGAGAGTGATGCATTACGTCAGTAGTATGACGGGAAGTCACTCATTGCAGCCAAAGATATGAGGACATGAACAAGTAAGTCCAATCAGGATGGTGGTAGCCCAGTGAAGGAGAAGCGTGAATGCGGTAATTTTAACACAAACTTTCCAAATTTTGAGATTTGCGTGCTTTTGTCGTGATGGGGCAAAAAGCTGATTTGGGTGAGTTGATGTGGTTGATGACGCCAGAAGCCTCTTCACCGATCAGCTAGAAAATGGGGACATGGTCAGAGCCCTGCCTGGTGGATCTCCACCGACCGACGGCGTCATAGTCGAAGTGTAATCTCATAGGTGAAGCCAAGCCCATTGGAAAGAAAAGTGACCGTAGATAGCGGAAGGCACACAGCGCTCTGCTGTAGAGCGAGTCGCTGACTTGCTTACCAATTATTTCATTCCGGTCGTTACCCTTGCTGCCGTCCTCGAATGGATTCCCTGTTACGTAGTACGCAGTACTCTGTAAGCCTGGGACTGTCAGGAACCTTGGTCGGGTGGAGAATTGGTCTTGCTGCGCCAACGGCCCGTTAGTTATGACAGGATGCAGGATTCAAGGTTCCGAGGCATCAAGAGCCGGTCCGCATCCCAACCAAGCCTAGCGCTCTTACGCCCGTCGTTTTAGTGTCTTAGCGTCTTAGCATCACGCGATACCACCGCGGCTGGGGCGGCAGCAGAGAAGGGGGAACGTTTTTTTGCTCTATCTCTTGTGTCACTGAATTAGTGACCCTCTCTTATTGAGAATAGTGTTGCCCTGATTCAGCCCTGAAATTCTGCTGCAGTAGTAGCAGGAAGAACATCAAAAATAAATTGAGCGATAGTTCGGAGTACTCCGCACAAATGATGAGAATTCTGAGAGCTATGAACTGATGTTATTCTTATTATGATAGGTTTGATAATTAGAATGATGCAGGCAGCTAAACATCTAGAATCAGCTATTACCTGTACAGCGTGCCAACAAACCCAAGAAACCAAGGCCAGGTCCAACTCCTTAGGAGATTGGAACCTCCATCCAAACCTGAGATCCTAGCCCGTCGATATGCAAATGTCCGTTAACTTACGCAGCGGACCTCCTTTCTATTTCTACATACAGTCATCATGACATGAGACCGCCATCATGGGACCCCATTACCTCCAACCTTGCTTTTCTCGCACCTGCTTCATATATATGATTCGATGTCTTCAGCTGAATGCCCCTTGTAGTGCATCATCCCATTTCCATTTTCCATTTCACCTTTTCTTGCTTGCTTTTGCCGAGTCGTACTTCCTTTGCCTAATTTTATACACACAAATCGCTTTTGGTTGTCTCAGGTAATTTCTGCTTTGCTTTGCTTGCCTTTTGTCATCTCTTCGCGACCCGAAAACGTCCGCAGATTGCGAGCTAGCTAGCTGGTGGACGTCCCATGCATTGGTCAGTCAGTCAGTTATTCCTCCAAGACCATTCCAACAGGGCAGGAGAGCCAGTCCACCCTCTTGCCCTTGAGGTCCGAACCGACCATCTCCAAACCCCTACCGCTCTCCTCTCCCCTCCTCTCCTCCAATATTCGACAGAGAGCAAGGTAGACGCAGCAATGACATACCTCCCATCACCTCACCAACACCCCCCATCAACAACCCACGACCCAGTATCCGCATACCACCGCATCCTAGCCCGCGAGCGTATCCGGGCAAGCGAATACCTTTCCGTCGCCGCGCAGCCACTGGCGCACGAGCGGAACATTGTGAGGGAGAAAGAGGCGGTCAGTGCGCGGTTGAGGGCGCATGAGCAGGTGATTGCCAGGGAGCAAGGGGAGGCGCTGTGTAGGGCGGAGGCGCGTGAGAGGATTCTGTGTGGTGCTCGTCAGGGCTGAGGAGGTCAAGGGGTTTTAAAGGGACGTGGGTTGGTGGTTAGAGCTGGATATCGACGTAGTGGATGTAGTAGGATTTATAGGTTTGGGGATCACGATTCGAGTTTGATTTCTGTGATTTGGTTCATTGATATTCGTATTGCTGCTTGGAGCGTAGCTATCCTAAGCTTGCGGGGACTTTCCGTTTCGTTTGGCTGATCATTTGTCTTATTCGTGATCATAAAACTCCATCAATATCTTTCAGTTTCCAAGCCAGTGAAGTTTCTCAGCGCCGGTTTCTGTGTACCTGAAGCCGCTGGTTATTGGCTTGCGTGGAAGACTGCCCAGCTAGGCAATTGCGATTTTTGAAAGGAAAATTCTTTGTCGGCTAGAACGTAAATGTACATACGGAGTAATGTTAAGAGTTCATGCCCTCCTCCACCACAACGTGCTCGCTTTTCTTCAAGATCTGTGTTGAAGCGAGTTGGTGATCAGCAGGGAGATGAATGATATAATGTTGAGAAAAGACATGAGAAAGGAAACGATCGCAAGTGGAACGAGTCTGATATCAAAATCCAGGGCAGATATGAAGAAGCAGGAATACGAACCTGGAAGGGGTACCCATCGAAATAAAAGCAAAATATACGCCAGAGTATCTTTATGCTGGAAAGAAACAGTAACCTAAGCTGCCAATGGGAACGCTTGTCAGCTCAGTAGCTAAAGAAGACTGAACCCAGATTCTCATGTCCAAGTGTCTCAGACTGTATACAACAAGACTTCAAAGATTACGACAGCCTCCATTGTGCAGTATCGATGGAGCAGAAGCCGGCACCTGGGCACCTGAGTCAGTTTGGCCGGTTGTATGATCGTGTTGGGCGCAGATGTCTTCCCAGCCCTCTTCAGTGTATTTGATGTGGAAGGCGTGTTGACCGTATATAGACGCGGCAGCGCAGAATCCGGCCACATCGATCTCGAAGAGGCGTCGAGAGTGCGGTACATACTATTAGCACAAATTACAGCGATCTGACTGGTACGCATGACACCTTGTCCATAAAGAGTAGGTTGTTCGGTCACCTCAGTCGCGTAGCGGTATTCGGAGCCGAGAGACTTGTCGAATATCAGCGTAGGGCTTTCCGTGTTTCGCCCAGTCCGGCCGTCCGCCCAGTCTTTGCTGCACCCACTCGAGTACTCGACAGTGGATTCCAAGCGTACTGTACCCCTCAAAAGTTTTCTCCTGAATTGTATCATATCAGACAAGCTTGTTGTCTAGACAATGGTGAAGTTCTCCATTTTGGTCCCTAGTCGGAGCGCTTCGCCGTCCACCATACCATGGACATAGCAGAATGCATCACCAACAAGTCTGTAAGTGCGCTCAGCTCCTTTTTGCAACGGACCATCAACCGCCCGCAGCATTACTGGTAATGGTCCCCCGTGAACTATGGCGATAAGGTCCCCAGGTCTCAATTGTGCTCCGCCCAACTCGGCACTATAGTCTTTGTCGCCAATTCCCAACAATCCATGTTCGCTTGTTTCAAAGAGACACCGCCCTCTGGTTACATGGCGCATGCGATTAAGAAAGTCCTTGTCCTCTATACCGGCTAGAGTCTCGGCCGTTGAATCGTTTCCCGTACTGGAGCTTTCGATGACCTTCTGGTACCACCTGTAAAATTGTGCGCGGAGATAGACTGGTTGACGATTGCCATTTACATCAGCATCGGCGATTACAGTACGCCAGAACGCGTCCTGTCGCTGTGGGTCTGCCTGGTCTTTAGGCTGGGTGATCTTGGCCTGTCCTCTCTGGTCTGGCCACACTGCCCAATTATGCCAGTCAAACAAACGGTCGCTTTCGATTACGAAGTACGAAGAGTGTCGTAAGGCCGCGATTCTGTCGAGGATGAAGCCGCGTAAGACAAGGTGACCCATTTCTAACACGCCCATGCTGGGTGTCTTCCCAGCAGCAAGCCAAGCAATAGGCGACAGGTCACCGCATGCCCTATACTTGATGATGTTTCCTGACCATTGGCGCTGCCGATAAAGCAAAGACACACCATCATCCAAAGAAGCCCAATCAGGACACCATGACCCCAAGTAGTTATTATCGAATGCTCGATTAGACCGTCTGGTAGCCAGCACGCGCAAATCTCCGTATTTTGCTATTGTAGACAACGCAAAAGATGCAAAAACGTCATGGATTGGCTTGGAGTAATCGATTTCGAAGCCCAGCTGCTGTCTAGGACCATGTCCGTAAAGTAGATCTGAGACACCTAGCAAGGCGAAGATCCTATCCCTGGGATCGGTCGATTTGTAGTCACGACAAGCCCAGAGTAGCTCTAGTAGATCCGGAGGGCGCTGTTTTGTTGCAACAAGCTGTCGAAGATTTTCGATTGCTTGCATGGCACTCCAACCTTGATGGACGGTTGGGTAATCCCGTGCGCGTCGGTCATTCGAAAAGCGAAGCGAAACAGCACGAAAGAACGCATCCCAGGGTATTGTCTCGGTTCCACATGTAACGACAAGGCTTTTGGCCAATGCTGCTTCTTGCAGTACCCATGAGCGACGGAATAGCTCTCTGTCCACAATCCGATCAATATAATTCCAGTTTTCGTATTTGTGAATCTTCCAGTAATTGAAAACGGAATTGGATGGATCAGCTTCAACAGCTGGCACGCCAAAGGTCAATGCTAGGATATATATCATGTTCGCGTCACAATAACTGAGGTTGCCGGATTCGAAATCGTGCAGATAGCGCGCAAGCCTCATGACAACCTGACTGCCTGTATCTCCTCCACCAAGCCAAGCGATGACATTTTTCGCTCGATGAAAGAGAAATGCCATCTGCCTGATTTGACTGCTGCGTTCCTCGATGTCTTTTTGGTTAATGCAAAGTGCGTCCACCCAAAGTAGCCTGGGACGTTCGGGGAGACGAAGATGGTTTAAGGCAATAAACAAGTTGCGGGTCACTGAGAATTTTCTGCCATTGACTATGATAGCTCGAAGGTTACCATGAGCTCCCCAGAGCCAGGACAGAGCCTCCCATTGAGGCGTTGCTAAGTCGACCTCTTCTTTGACCGTTCGCGTTACCAATTCACATTCGATGGGATCTTGACCCACACCTGGCTTGAGATAAGCGAAACGGAAGGAATCAGCCGTAGGCAGTCGGTCGTATACAAAATCGTCATCTTTCTTCAGATCCATCTGCTGTAGGTAAATCAGGGGGATTTGATGGGGTGTCAATTAAAACCTCCTCCTTCTCTCGCAGCCAGTGTAGAGTATGTATAGTTTTGACAGATGCTATCATTGTCATACTTGACCATCTTGAATCTCAGCCGCATGCTAAAGGGAGGTTAAAAAAGTGGGGAGATGTTGATAATAATAGTACAAGGTGCCACTCAGATGTATGTTCTTACCTGATAGGATTAGCGTTGAGGTCCTTCGGCCCGACCCCAATTTAATCACCGAAGTGTATCCCCTCCGAGGTCGGGTGGTACTAATAGCGTCTTGGCGTAAAAATAAGGTTTTTGAGCCGCATTTGATCGCCATAGCTCTCCGCAGCTGGTTTTTGAAATGAATTTTCAACCACCTCCAATGCTACGACCACGTCGAAATACGCAAATCCCTATTAGATATAGAGAGAACTCACCTCCGCAAATATCTCAAAACAATAACCAACGAAAACGGCGCAGAATTGACCCCGAAAAGATTGATCGAAATAATGTCGATCAAGCCTTGGCAGTGATTGCTCCTGCGTCAGAATGCGCAGATGAATCACCCACACTCATTTCAACAGAACTTCCTCATTTTGAGGCTAATTACGTTGAAAATCGAGAAGGAGCTCCTCAATATACCGATTTATCTGTATTAGGCTTTTTTCAGCTCTTTTTAGCGACTCTGTGGTGGAAATCATCTCCAAAGAGACTAATTCGTACGCCGAATCTCAACTTCGAAATCCTCTATTTCCTCCTCTATCTCTCCCGTCGAACTGCCCCTGGGTACCTACTACATCGGCAGAAATACGTGTATATCTGGGCATAAATCTCTATTTTGGCTTGTACCGATTGGCAGTTCGAGAGGATTATTGGAAAATTCATAAACTTGGTCAATTTATAGGATATGGTCGATTCAAACGAATCCATCGTTTTTTTAGTACACAAAGTGGCCCTATTCCTTCAAACGCACCCTGGTTCTATCGAATTCAGCGCGTTGCTGGTCTTGTACGAACAGCATGTCGAAATTCCTTTACTCCCTCCTCTAATATCGCTATTGACGAGGCTATGGTCGGCTTTAAGGGCCGTTCAAAGCATACAATCAAGCTAAAGGGCAAGCCTATTGATACAGGCTACAAGCTATGGTGTATTGGCGACCATGGCTATATCTGGAGCTGGCTATTTCACTCTGGAGTAGAGGGCGTTGAAACGCTCGAAAAGGGTAAAAAAACGAGCTGGCCGCGTCTGCGCTTCACAGACCACAAATACACAGAAAACGTCTCCTTAGCACCCACATTCGCGCTTGTTCTACGTCTCGCCGAACAGCTTCCAAAACAGCTTGATTTCTGCATCTATTTGGATAATCTGTTTCTAAATGTACCTGTTGCGCAGTGTCTTTTGGCTATGAGGGTCTATTGTATGGGTACAACGCGCAAAAAGGCTGACGGCTTTCCCCTTGATCTTCAGAGCTATTTTGACAACAATAATGAGCTGCTATGGGACTCTACTGTAGCAGAAGTAGTAGATAACAACGTTCTATGCTTCATTTGGCGAGATAATAAGACTATGGGCGCTATTTCGACTGCTTATAGCCTCCACAGACTTGAGGATAAAATTCAACGTCTACAAAGATGCCCAAAATTAACGTCTGAAAATTAATACATTTTATGCCCTGTTTTTAACAGTCAACCGTTCAAGAAGCTCTTTATACCAATAGCTATTAATGATTATAACCATTATATAAAGAGCGTGGACCAAGCTAATCAACTGCGCGCTAGCTCTACGTGCCATCGAAAGCAGAATTATCGAACTTAGTAGCCGTTATTCTATTTTCTTATTGACGTTGCTTACGTTAACACTTATTTGCTATAGAAATAGAGTTCGATAGCAAATACTGCAAAAGCCAAAAAAACGCATACTTCTTATAGAGATTTTATGGTGACTCTATGTAATTAATTGCTCTACTCGAATAATAAGATTCAGAAGGAGGAAGAATCCGAGGAGGAAGAGTCTGAGATTCTACCCACAGAAGGCTCTAATTTGGCCCACGAACCCGTACGACAGAAAACCAACGGCCGGTGTCAATAGGGAAAGCTCCACCCGCCTGGCTGCCCCCTCAAAAGGGCACTCAAGCGCAAATTTGGGACGGATATAACAGAATCGTCTGTTAATGGCGCCAATGAGGCTATTTCTGATGGATCAAGGACCTTCTACAAATGCAGCAATTGCCAAATTTGGCTGTGTATCAGAGGAGACTGTTGGCAATGACACCATGATGAAATTGAGGCCGATAGCTAGATAGAACAGTCTCAATTGGCCGAAATAGGCATTTGTTGACATCCTTTGGACCCCTCATAATGATCGACAGCGCTATTAGTACCATTTCACATCCCTGCCCGACCTCGGAGGGGATAAGATGAAGTGCTGATTTGTTCAGCTGCAAATCTTACGATTGGTCAAACAATTTACCTTTGGTCCTCACCTCGTATTTTGAAAAAGCGCAGAGATATGGAGTATAGAACAACTCATCAAAGCATCTACAGACAAGATTTATTGTAAGCAGCGAATAGTATCAAGCCATCTCCTAATACGGAGTAAAAGCATTGATTTGAGTGACAAAAACCATACGACGCCCCAGTCATGATGAGAGCATAGAAAATGTGCATTTAATTTCGTCATAACTGCTTCACTGTTTCCAACTTCCATTGCTCAGTTTAGGGCCCAAGGAGAGCAAATAATAGTCTCGTAGAGGCCCACGGAATACTCCCTAGGGAAGACACTTCATGCTAGACAGTTTACACAACTCTACTCATTTTTCTATCGTGAACAAGCATTATGTGGACGGACAGAGTCGTTAACGCTCACAACAGGTAGCTTTGAGAACCAGGTCCAGAACTCCTCAAAAACAAGAAAGAGTCAAAGCAGACTTAAGAACTTTGCTTCTAGCCCTCTCAGATGATCCACCTTAGGACAAGATCTTTGGCTGATTTCATGAAGAGCTTTTCGCCTCGTAGACAAGGTCCCCAGAAGTATTTATCAATCCTCAAAATTTAGTGACAAGCCAAAGCAAACATAAATTTCAACAGTCTAGTAGCATCTCCGTCCGTGTAAAAGTCAAAAACTTTACCCACTCTGGGCACTCGCATTTGGTGAACGACCCAAGGGATATTGCCAGAGCTATGTAGGTAACGAAAACCCCACGGTTCAGTGCTGGGGTTTTGCCAGGTTTGCGTGCCTCCAGTTGGAACAGAGTGTAACGGTTTCCACATTATCATTCCAAACTGACCATCTGCCCGACAGATTGAAATATGTGTTTGTGGTAGTAGATAAACCTTTGAAAGATTGCAAAGCTTGCAGTTCGAGCCGCTGGATAGAAAAGTGAATATTTTCAGCGCCAAAACAGTAATATTTGTAGCACATTCCTGAAGCAGTATCTTGCTTGCTGAGAATCTATCATGGGGTTAATTAGGCGACTAAAGCCTTCCTCCAGTATCTGCTCAGCACAAAACAGCTACCATCAATGTTTTGTAAGGCCAGTTCCCATATCTTAGAAGCACATGACTATCCGGTCATTGATTACGCCCTCCTGCTTTTCCGTTTGGCCTTGGTCCTTATCTCTGCTCCTCTTGCTTCACATTCACGCTTAGACCTTTCTTCGGTTCTCTTGAACTTCGAGCTCGTCATTGGTCTCAATTGAGCTCCATCGATGTCGGACGGAGAGCTGTCGGTTTGCCATTCGAGCAAAAGGCCGCCGCGTCAAAGTTTGGTCCCCACTAGGTAGGCCGTCCGACAGTCGTGGGCCGCCGCAGGTTTTCAAGGACCTTGTGAGCTTGCATCAGTGCTAGTGGAGGGCATCAAAAGATGGTCCGGCTGAAAGACGTCAAGCAAGGTCCCTATTTGGCAAAGGCGTCGAAGATATATCTTGGACGACTCCTCCCTGGACACGATACACAAATACTCTAATAACGGTCCTCGCATGCCGTTCATTACGTGCGTGGCTTTGGTCTGATTCCCCTGTTCACTCACAGCCCCCAAAGAGTGCTGGTTTCGATTCCATCTTGCTCCAACAAGACCTCGAAATGAGACTATTTTTCTTCCTCTGCGCTTTGGCATTCCTCCTAGTCAACTCAAATGCGGACGAGTTCCCGAATCCCTGCAAACGATCCGACATTCTGCCCGCCACCAAGGCAAATTATCCGGGCTGCTGCATATATTAGTGATCTGCAGATCAGTCCAAGCTCGCCCTTCTAGCTGTAAGCACATCCTTTGCTCATGAGCTACACATTGAAGCCTTCTTCACGCGTTGTTTGCTTTTGACTGATACAATTGAACCATAGAAAATGGAAAACACCAGGTGAGAAATCGCTGGCAAAGAATGCAAGGACTATGGAATGTGCTACTGTGCTCTCCCATGACCGCTTCATCTCGAATATTCACCTATGATCAATGGCTACAACGTGCACAAGACAAAAAAAATGGGAACATCACTGCGAGAATTACAAGGAGTTCATAAGGTGTCTAGGGAAGTCGAGGGATCATTGCAGCCTTGACCGTCCTCGAGATTGGGGCAAACCATGTACCTGGCTTCGCCGAAGGCTTTACCGCTGCTGAATTAGGCGTCATGGGTGGTTGACAGAAACTGCGGCAAGGTATTAGGATCATGGGACAGTTGTGACAGGAATTTTCGCGTGGTCGCTGCCAATTGGTGGATATCAGTCGTGCAGCCAAGAGACCATGAAGAAGTTTGACATTTTTAACCAAATTTTGAGAATATTGCATTGTTTTGCAGATGATGCCGAACAACAACAATCAAAGGCTGAAACAGAAGTGTCTAGCAAGATGCGTCGGGTAATTCCGAACAGGTTTGACTTTTCCTCCGAACCCTAAGGCCTAGCGTAGTAGGGCGGACTATTACGGGCCTCAAGGTCAATTCAAATAGATGGATTGCTCGCAGTCCTTGCTGATCATTCTATCCCAATCCAACACTGCATGTAATTGTGGACGGAGACTTAATTTATTGATTTCGGTGCCCGTAAGAAAAATCCAATTTTTTTGAATTGACCTTAAGCCTGCAACAGTCCACCGTATGTCAGGACATTTAGATGGGAGGCCCTAAGGCCCCCTAACCCCACACAACCCCACTTTCTTCCCTCTCTTGCTGTGACTCGCTAGCGGAACATCTGTCGTTCCCAAAGAGGAACCCCACCTAAGGCCGGCCATTGGATCCCATATCTAGAATTGCACATTTTTGAGTCTGTTATCATTCCCTACCTAATAATGTTTTTGTAGTCTCTCAATCTAGAAGTTCAAAGTACTCTTGATATGATGTTGCCTAGACTTAATTATCTCATCATATATTTAGGCATCGCCATCACTATCATTTCTTTCTATTTTAGTACTGTGCGCGTCCAGTGTGCTCTGGGCGGTCTGAACATTGCCGAGTCTTGCAGCAGACAGAATTCAGACAATCATGTGTCTAAAGACAATCTGTTTGACGTCCAAAACAACACTCTTGGTGTATGTTAAAGCTGATTACCCTGAATGAAAACGGAGATTCTCGCAACTAACATGGTTTCTATATCTTGTAGTTCCATGAAATTTTTGCCATCTCTCTTCCGGAGCGAACAGACAAGAGAGATGCGCTCGCACTACAATCTTCGCTTTCAGGGATCGCTTTGACGATAATGGACGGTGTGGACAGCTCCAAACTCCACTTTAAGGCTCTGCCCCACGTATGTATATCGTCTACGCCTACCCGTGATATCAGCTTACATATGTTTCCTAGACTATGGACCAGCCACCTAAAGATATGGCGTGCTGGCGAGCCCATATGAACGTCATTCAACAGTATGCCTAGGGTTTTCTCTCTTGATACAGCCCCTAAGCGCTGAAACTCGTCTAGTATTGTCAATAATGGTATTTCCTCAGCCCTGATTATGGAGGATGACGCCGATTGGGACGTTGCATTAAAGCTTCAACTTGTTCAATATGCGCGCGGCTCTCGCTATCTACTTTTCTCGTCTCCTGAGGAGATGCCCACTTCCCCATATGGCGATGGCTGGGACTTTTTCTGGCTCGGTCATTGCGGAGCTTGGTTTGACGAGCTTGACACACGCCGCTTCGTTATCCATCATGACCCGACTGTTTTACCGCCCAAGAACCGCCAGTACGCTGGCCACCCTGACATGTCGCTTTGGGAACGGCAGGATGCTGATAATCGCACCCGCATTGTCTATAAATCCGAAGGAGGCGTTTGCGCAGCTGCCTATGCCGTCTCTTTACGTGGGGCACAGAAAATCTTATATCATATGAGCATGCTCCCTTATAATAGGTCGGTGGATTGGGGTTTCCATGATATGTGTAAGGATAGGAAATCAGACTTTAACTGCATTGCGACCTATCCAGCACTCTTCGGTGTGCATGAACCTGCTGGCAACACCAGCAAGTGGAGTGATATAGGTCATGGTACCGACGAATCACAAAGCCGGGTCGAAGAGCGGCCTAGTTCGAAGAACCTCGCTTTCTCAGCAAGAATGAATATTGGCAGGCTGCTGAGTGGTACAACATTATTCGAAAGTCAGTTTCCTGAGGCAACGGGTGGCGAGATGGATATCGCGGACATCGGTAGAGGAATTGGACATCCAGAGGTTCTGCCAAAGATGGCGGTTGTGGAAGGCTGAGTTGAGTTTCTCATAACTTCCAGTGCAAGTTACCGGGCCTTTGCAAAATAACAGATCGCTTTCTAGCATTATGTGACCTTTCCACTTGACGCGAGCCGGACTACGTCTAAATCTCCTCTCAAGAACATCTTCCGACCTATCAACGCTCCATTATTTCCCATTGTTTCCCCACGTGCATATGAGCGTCGAGTTACACCTCACCTAATCTTGTATTCTCGTACTGATGTGCCTCCCCATTCCCGCTCTTCGTGTCTTTCCCTTGACAATGAAAATTCGGGTTTCCCAGCGTTCTTTGGTCTCAATTTTTTTCCCCTGCTACTCTCTTGGGTTTTGAAGTAGGACTATTCGTTGCTATTGGAGCTGAGAGTGGCCTCGTGGATGCGGGATCCTTCTCTTCGCCCGTAGTACGATAGAATTTGGTTCGAGAAAGTCTTTTGAGGACCTGGTCGGCCTCGATCGTTCCCACTGAGGCAACTAGTGGAGAGGCCGGTAGGAAACATCCAGCAAGGTCCTCGTTCAGCAGACATAGGGCATACAAATCCGGCGCCACTCCTCGAACCTCAGACATCTCCACCCAGCATATTTCACAGCACTTTCCCTTTTCGCCTTGGATATTTCCTCAATTGGCGTCCTAGTTACACATTACAAACAGTCAAAGAGCTTGACCTTACGCAATCATTCTTCCACAAAGTATCTCGGCATGAAAATTGCGTTTTTCTTGTTGCCTTTGGCATTCCTGACAGCTACCTATGATGCCCAAGAGTTTTCAAATCCTTGCAAACGACCGGACATGTTATCTGGTTCTAGGGTTCCAGGACGAGTGGTTGTCCCTAGTAAAGGACTTGCAGATCAGTGCAAAATTCGCAACTCTCGTTGTAAGCTATATCCCTAGCCATAAAACAGTGGTTAAATATAGACCAGAGCATTTTGACATTCTTGACTAACTAAATTGAACCCTAGAGCAAGGATAAAAATAAGCACAGAGTGACAGGCAAACCGTGCATGGACGATGAATGATGCTATTGCATAGTACCACCACCTCTCGATGGGGAGGACGGTTCAGTGATCAATGGCTACAATGAATACGATACGAAACAATGGGAGCATTTGCAAGAATTACCAGGAGTATGTGGTATGCATTGAAAAGACGAAGGACTATTGCACTTCGGACCGTCCACGGAATTGAGATCAGGATTGTTCCCTGGCATGGAATGCGGCTTGGAAATTGCACAGGCTGAGGTCATATATACGCTCAGCAAGGGGCTCATTCTGGTCCCCATACAATGCAGTTAAAATGCATTGCAAGAAACTTCTGAGACTTCTGAGGTTCAGCGAGGTCCAAGATGGCTAAAGGGACCCTGAGTTCTTATCAAAGTCTATTCATCTCGTTTTCGAAAAGAATATGCTTCAGTCTGTCAGAATCCCTGCGTATATGATACGTATCTGTTACGTATTAGCATGATGGTACAAGGGTCCCCGCATGCAAAACGCACGAAACGCTCTTGTAACTGTTACGCCCTGTTATTTATGGCAGTGAGCATTGCTATACGAATTGAACGCCAAATGCTGTTTCTGAGCTGTTACAGTAATGCGCTTCTATAGCTATTAGTATGAGCAAATGCTCCTCTTGATAGGAGCAACTCAATCAAGTGAATTGGCACCTCCGTATGCTATTTTGCACCAACTTCTAAAACAGTCTGTCCTGAAGCAACACCTGCTTACGCTTCTTTGCTTCAAGAGATCAGCGATTGAAGTGCTTCGGGGTAGGTAGATTTTTGGTCAGATATTAAGTGTGCAACATGTGATTTACTGAGAAATATGATTTACAGGTATAAAACGAATCCTGCTGTGTAGATAGTGGGTATTGCCTAACTGGGATTCTTAATAGTAGCTACAGGGTGTCTCCTATCCTCCCGCGCTTAATCCCTGTCATGGGATCCTTCTGCGAGTCTCCGAATGCCCTCCGGTAAGTGGTGGTGTGTTTCCAGGGCCAGAGGGTCATGCATTACTTTGGGAGTAATACCAGTAACTCCAGAGTGAGTTAAGTTCCGGCCTTAATTAAGAGACTTGAAGTGCTTCCTCCACATGCACGACTGCATCTAGCAGAGTATCGAAATCGGGTTTTATGATATCCTGAACTTGCGGAGCATACACAGCGGTTTGGTTCAGGAGAGACTATCATTCAAAGTTAAATATATCATGCAAAATCTTATCAAAGAGGAAGAGGGACTCGTGGGTTGAATAGAGGGTAAAAGAGGGTTGGGCTTACATTCACTGGAATAAATTGTTTGTTCACAGCATCAGACAGCGTCCTCTTTTGATCCTCAGTAAACGAGTCTTTTTTAGCTATAATTAAAAGAAGGAGGCCGTAGTCTACGACAACGAACTGCAAGCGAGAGTGTCAGAATTTAAGTAGATAGGTGGAGGCCGATCAGTGAAGTGGTAGGATTTCTGTATGTTTTAACATACGGACAAAGAACAATAATCACAGGTAGTAGAAGAAATCATTTATCAAAGCCGACAAAGGGATAGAAAGAGGTAGTATGGGTTAGGAGGAGCTCACTGAATGAGCAGCCGATTGAACACCGTATTGCACCACTTCAGAATACGGTTCCGGCGGCGGCGGCAAGGGACCATCAGTGTTGGCCATCTCTGCTCTCACGAATCCGCTGTATTGATCAACCAAGGCCTTGGCTTCGGGGCTGCCAGGAGAGCTGGGAATAAGAATCCCCAAAGTCTATTGATGGGACAAAATGTCCCTGTTAGCCAGGAAGTAGCGGATAGCAGTACGAATCCGGGGTGGGAAGATGTTCAATTTGCACGCGTGTATCAATGCAGGGTACAGCCCAGAGGGCTGTCTAGGGATGTCTCAATGATGATTCAATTTTTCGTCACTGCAAGTAACAAAGAGGGGGGAGGAAAAGCCAGAAATATTCAAGGTTGTAGTTGACAGCCAACTCACTAAGAACTCCTTGTAACGGAGGCTGAAGCCATTCAGCAAGCTCATGAGAACGTTGCCGGTCAACAGCTGGGAATAAACTGTCGAGATGCATGAGAAAAGAACAAGGGTGATAAGACCCATGAGCGTAGTGGTTGGTGATTGGAAACGCATTGTGAAATGTGAATACAATAATGTAACTTGGAGGTATGTTTCTTGCTGTTTTCCGATGAAAGGGGATTGAATAAGTAGACTTTCCCAATGAGTTTCTCAATCTGGTTCATTGTATCTACGCCGTAGTACTATCTATAAGTAATATAAATCTGACTTGATTAGCAAATCAGGTTACACGAGGCCATGCAGGAAGAAGTTTATCGGGTGATCATGGTGTCGGATCTTAGGTGATCTTGCCCAGATCTTGCTATCCGTAGAAGCTCTGCCGCATGACTTAGCATACTTTCTAGGCTAACATGTTTTCCGAATCTGTATGTAGAGAGGGACCTTTCATATGCAGAAAATTTTGCTTACTACGTACAGAGACTTGTGCCGCTCTGAGTACAAAAGGCGAATCAAATTTTTCTTACCAGTTGCCCTATTGCGTTACATAGCTAATGTAGATCACCACACGCTATCACCTGAGTAACCATCTTCCTGCAGTTACCAACGTGACATTCCCTTCGTAACAATATACTGAGACCAGGTAGTAATATAAGAACCAAATGCAGCCAACGTCCAAGAAGCCAACAAAATTCGAAGACAAACATGGTTTCGACGAGATGTGCACCAGCTATGGATTCATTAAAGGAGCGAGCTGACAACTTTTGAACTCGTGAACAACCTGACTGCTGATCCATGTAGGCCAAGATGCCCGACCGGCCCTTCGGCCCCACTCAGAGCCGATACCACCCTTCTTCATGCCGCCAAAAGGAGCCATCGGACTTGGCCTGGCTACCGAGTTTATAAACACACTGCTAGCCTCCATTTTAGACGCAATCTCGTTGCACCGCTTGAGATTTTCCCCCCCAAATCATTGCGGCTAAGCCGGTCTTGGTTTTATTCGCTTGCGTAATTACCTTGTCGTCGTCTCTCCAAGACTGAAATAGGATAATCGGCATAAATGCCTTCTCAGTGACAATTCTCGAGTCGTCCGGCGGGCTGTTAATGATCGTTGGCTTGATATAACAATCAATCGATTGTTCTATAGTATCCCGGCCCTTAATGAACTTATGTCCCTTTTTCTTATTATCCTCAAAGAATCCTTTTACCCTCTCAAACTCTATTAGGTTTTAGATGGGGCTGAGCGTGAAATTTCCCTTTGTGGTTCTCTAATCTTGATCTCTGAGGTGAAGGCGACTATTACTTCAAGAAAAGGCTTATGAATGGATGAATATTGTCACGTGCATTGGTGGTGGCTTGGCGCCTATAGTATTTAGAGCACCTATAGCTTCTTTCTTCCTTAAATATCATACTTTTTACCACCTTCTAATTGAGCCATTGCTTTCATCACAGCAATTGATAGCATTGTTTAATTCGTTTTCAACCACCAGTAGCATTTGATACGTAAGCTACACCACCCTCCGGGCAAGGAAAAGCCCACTTTGTATTTTAGATTTCTAGCTATACACCACCAATTCATGCATTGAGCTGATAGCGCTCCATAAATCCATTCTTTCTGCCGGCAAGCTCGCTCCTGCGTATTCCCGGATTGCAACCTGGTGATACCTTGATCTGCCACTTCAACGGCTAAACATATAACCTCTATTTGTCTGAAGACTCCCAAAATGCCAAGACATCATCCCCTGACCCCTTTCTCCATCGCGGCAATGCAGAACAAATTCACATCTTACTTGAACCCGGCACTTGCTCTGGAGAGTTCTCCACTCTACCGCATCCCAACACCAACCACCACCATTCTCGAACCTCCCAACCGCCAGTCCAGCCCCCTTCCTCTTCCCCAGTCTTCTTCACCGCCCCTACCCTCCAGCACCACTCGAGCAGACACTCCACCTCCCACATGGCCAGCGACGGATTCATCGTCTTCGCCACTTCCCTGACACTCGCTCCAGACCGAGTTGCAACTATACCCAGCACAGCCGCGATAGCGAGGTCCCAGTATTGGTGTTGAAAATTTCCATGTATATCGCGCCAAATGGGGATCATGTCTCTCGCACCAGTGCCAAGATCCGGGATACCGGCATCCCGCTCAAGGAGGGGGTTGCCAAAGACATATTTCTCGGGGATATGTTCCATCATCACGGTAAAATATAGATTCTCCTTTTTGATTTTCCTCGTCTGATACCTCAACGTGGGATCGACTCCCCATCTATTTCGTGGTACGTCATCTCCAATCGTGATTTTGATACGGCCATTGGCGGTAAGATTGAGGATGGCTATCATATCCCCGTCCTCGATGAACACGGGGTGAAACTTCACCCTTTGAACCTTACGGAATGCTGGGTCAAGCACAGTGGTCTTGTAACGCAGAGCTTGCTTTAACATTGTCGCAGTGATTGTCCGGCGTTGATCCAATATGTCGTTGAAGACGCGGCTAAGGTCAAAACTTCGACCTTTGGGGTCTACACTCTTGTCCCGTTTTTTAACAACGGCTCTGCTTGCCGCAAGTGATTTTAGGGCAGAGTCGACGAGCTTTTCTGATTCCTTGACGGTAGGAGCCAGTGAGTGGAGTTTGTCGTGTGCTTTTGCAGGATCAAATGTTTCCAACGGAGTTGCAACAGTGGATAGAGCCCAAGATTTAGCCAGCTTCGACGCATAGTCACTAGTGTCATCCGTCGGGTCAAAGAGATGGGGGGGCTTGCCCGGGCTCTTCGGTGGAGAAAGTGGAAGAGGCACCGCGAAGGGAATGGCGGAGATCGCAACTTCTTTGGTCGGGACTGTGACAGCTGTGTTGTAGGCGAGTAGATCGCGATAAGGTCGATGGGAAGCTTCAATCTTCATGTTGACGGTTTCGTTGAGTTCTGACATGGTGGCAGGTAAGTCCGGAATTTCATGCATCACAGGCTTGTCAAGGCTGTTGAGCGCCCATTCTACCACGGTCTTCCAATCAATGCTTTCAGGCTCATCTAAATTGATCTGAGGCACTTCGCCCTTGGCATATGCTTCGGGAAATTTGTCCTGGAAATTTTCAATAAGTTGATCAACATCACGACGATGTTTATTCGAAAGCGTTTTCCAGCGATCTTTAAGAAATTGCTCTTCTTCATCAGGAAAAACACACATCACAAGTGGCCAGTCGACGTGCTTTTCTAGGCCGCCTGCTAGAGCTCGCACAACTACTATAGTTACGGTGAGCTTATAGACAAAGTGCTTTGGCATCGTGCGTAGGTGTTGGGTGCCTCGTGGACGTTTGTACTTTGCCCCTATCAAATGTGAGACATCAATCACGTTACCTGCCGAATCGGTTATCGTCTGAGGCTGGGTCACAGTTGTTGGTTTTCGCCGACGCCTCTTTGCAGCTTCTACCACCTCAGCAGGGTCTCTTTTCCTTTTGCGCAGAGGCCGTGGTGTAGGTAATTCAAGTTGTGCTTGGGTGAGATTCTGAGCCCAGCGTGGTGAGACAGCACTTCTGTTTTCTGGTGGAAGACTGGAAACATCTTGATCGTGGACATGAAAGCGAGTTTCGGTATGTTCGCGGCCTTGGGTATCATACCAAATAAGACCAGTAAATACCAGACTTGAACTGGAACCCGAGGCAGACTGGAAGCTGTTTCCCACAAAATGGTTGATGAAGACCCAATCGGTTGATTTAGAGTCAAACAGCTTCAACGACCTCTGCTCCCACAGAGTGACCCCGTCGATATTCCATTCAAATTCGCGATAATTGGGATCTTTCTCTTTTGTGTAATTCGGTTTCTTTCTCCTTCGATCATCCAAGAGTATTTCTTGCACAGAGGAAGGAAGTACTGGTTGAACACCAATTTCTTTCCAAATGATGTTAGTAAGCTGAGTTGATTCTGACTGCGGCGTGGTGGCAATGGAGCTGGCTTGAGATGCAAAATTGGCATCTTCACTGCTGTGAGATAGGGCATTTGTTCGCGACTTAAACGGACGAGGTGCTGGTAAAGCGAAGGCGTCAAAAGTCAACGGCTTCTCCGGGTTTTCTGTCCGGAATTGTAATGGATTTGGAGTGTGTGAGAGCTGATCTGGTAAGGGCCGCTGAGGAGATCGAGTATTGTGAGATACAGATAGCTTAGGTCTTTTGTAAGGTGCTGAAGCTGTGGTGTACTTCCGCCGGATACCGACAAGTCTTGTCCGAGGGACGATATCTCTGCCCTGTGGATCATGCCCCTCGTTGGCATCCTGTACTTCTGGATCTTTATTGCGTTGTCTCTTGCGAGCAAGAGAAAGTGTCTCTCGAAGCTGCAGTCTTAAGACCTTTGCTGGAGTCTCGGATGGTTCAACGGTCTGTTCATCGTAAACAGCTGGCCAGACCGCGGATGGTTCCCTGTGCATCTCTCGATTGAGGTCAAGGTCATCTCTGAGCGCGTCAGGAAGATAGGGGTGAGGATCTGCCTCAATCATCCTCCTTTGAGTCTCAAGAATGTTTGGGTGGGAGATAGCCATGTCTGCTTTGGCAAGAATGGTTTTTGTGACCACAGCGCCCTTTTTATTGCGATGGCTGAACTTGATCTGTTTCGCGCTTCCGTTCTGGCACAAAGACTTCACAACAGCTTTTATTGTTCGCAGATCAGGTTTGCCAGATTGGCCTGCCTTTTGCCACGCGGTCGTGAATGCACTGCACAAAGGGCTCTGGTAATATGGTAGCGCGCCGCTGCAAGCTTCCATGAGATCAATCATGATCTTACGTCTTAGAACGGCAATAGAGCCAGCTCCTACCCCTTCCTGCTTCCTACGTTTTTGAGGAGGACCATGGTCTGAGTCCGGGTCTGATATCCTCATCTCAGGCAGCGTAATCTGTCCACCAATTTGAGAAGAAGCATCAGCAGAAACGCCGCTTTGGTTTTCTCCATTCAGAGTGTCCTGATTAGGCGGGTCAATTTGGTCGTCCCCTTCCGCAAGAAGCTCTTGAACCAATCTGAAGGCCTCTGAATCGCGTTCTTCGATAACCGGCGTGTCAGCATCTTTGCGACGCGTTGCTGAGGCATCGTACTTCTCGTGGTTAGCTATGATCCCCAGGGGGGGCGCATGGAACTCTACAGATGGTCGCAATGACTGCGACCCCGATTCGAGGCGGTTCGGAATTGGTCCATGGGCGGCAAGAACACTGTGTCTGGTAGCTTGTATGTTGGTAATACCATTCAGGCTACTGCCATTCAAAGAAATCATAAAGGTGGCTGGCTTCTCTGAACGAACTTCAATTTTCTCAGTATCTTCAAGATTCAAGACCTGGTCTACTTGCGTTGAGGCTGATGGGAGACCTGGGGGGTTAATGCTGTCAAGAAGCGCGCCAACTTGGTCGTCACTCTTATCAACGGCACCTGCAGCTGACGCTTCAGAGATTTCACTGGCAGTTTGTTGGCTATCGCTTTGTCTTCTGCGCAGCAAAGACCTTGTCGTGAGCGGAGGTGGCAAGCCAGAAGGCGGTGTGGGAGACGCCTGCCATACCATATTTTCTGGACCTGCTCTGTTGTGGGATAGGGGAGTATCTTTATGCAGCAACGCCTCGTTGAAAGTTACCGTTCTTGGCTTTCGGCTTGGCCTATTCTGCAGACTATTTTTGGAAGATGCAGCACCCTCGTCTGCTTTCTGTCCTAATGGCGTTGTAATACTTCCAGGAGCCAACGTGTGAGGGAGTGGCTCGTGCAGTCGATCTTGGATTCCATTTGAACCAGGCTCGAGTCCCCTGGCAGGATTCTTTCCTCGAACAAGACTTGGAGACGATCTTAGGGTATTATCATCGCTGTCATCAAGACTTCCACCCACAACCCCATTTTGGAGATCGACAAATGTATGAGCAGCGCTGGAGATCAAGAAGCGGACGGCTGGAATGTCTTTCTTCTTTGAGAGATCAAGCTCTCCAAGGCGCGAACTGCGGACAACCAAAAGTCTACTGGCTCCTCTGTACTTTTTCGTTCCTCGAAATCGCACCCCTTTTGGCGTAACGTAGACACCTGCAGCGGTTCGATCGAGAACCTGCAACGTCTTATCCACCCATTCCTGTGCGATATCCTTGGGCATCGCCGGTACGGGTAAACCGCCTTGTAGCGCTCGTACGAGAACTGCATCAAACTGTGGAGGTCGCTTAGCGAAGAGAGCAAGTCCAGCAGGGTCGGACATCATTCCAGCTCGGCTGTCTAGGTTTTCGTGGTTGTCTGGGGTTTTCTGTGCTTTGACCATGGCAAATTGTCCTTGCCAGAACTTTTCAGTCCCACGTAGAAATTTCCTGGGCCGTCCCCTGGGTTTGGCTCCAGGCTGTCGCTGTTGCAAGGGCTGGTTTGTGGTGTCTTGGGGCCGAGACGATGGGCTGGCAGAGCCAGTAACAGGAGCTTTTTCTCTGTTAGATCTTACTAGGATGACGCTTGTTTCAGCTGCGTCATATCTGATTACGTTGGTCCCAGAGCTATTGCGATCCAATACGGGATCCCGGTTTGCAATTGGAAGATCTCCTGGGTGAGCGGCGAGCAAGCACTGCCCCAAAGTTGCGCGTGCACCTTTGAACTGTGAGGTGAGCGCGTGGTTAGCTGGAAATCCAAACGTATCAAGCTCGGGGCTATTAGAGTTGATAGAAGTATTAAATGTGGCTTTTTTCTTTCCCTTCTTCCCGCTGTCCGAAGTCGGCTCTCTGACAGCTTCCCAAAATGCGTGCCCAGAGGCAACGCGTGCTTCGAAGTTTGGAAATGAATACTGCACGTAGAGAGGAATGGTGCCTGATAGCATTGTGTCTCGAAGTATAGCTAGGTGGCGGAGATGTGATGGCTGTGATTGAAGCCACGTTGCGGTCAATCTCGTCAGTAGGTTTTCGAGTGGCCTGCGGAAAAAGATTCCCATGAGGTGGTGCCTCAAATCCTAGGAGAAAATAAGCATTATCGTGTATATTATGCGTGGCTCACCAACTCTGTTTGTGTAGCCCTGAGTTCCTGCCTGCTGAACCACGTTTAGCAGACAATTCGAGAGGGGCCTGTCTGGATTCCATTGTGGAAGTATCCTTCCCACCTCCTCAAGCTTGCCAGGCATCTGCCCAGCCATCGTCTGAAAAGCGTCATCTTCATTCTCAAGATCTGGCTCTTCGACAGCGTGCTCATCTGTGATACCTGGGCCAGAGGTGTCGAAGGTCTTCAGGTCTTGTTCGGAGGGCTCGTGGATGAGTTTGACGCAATCGAAGTAATATCCTACTTTCTTTGATGCTTCTGAGGCTGCTTTGACCCTCCGAAGGCATCCAATCACCTCAAGTCGGCGAGTGATTTTACCCAGCGCTCGAGCCTGCCATCGTGTCGACATGTTAAGCTCCCTCTTAAGATCGTCTCGAGTGACGATGTTCTTTTCCTTGAGTATAGTGAAAAGATTTGTTATCAGGGCACGAGTTTCCAGGCACTCATCCCGCACGCTCTTATGCGTACCAGGAGATACTGGCTGTGGCGTTACAGAATTATGGGCAACATTCGAGGCGAATCTCCGAAGCACTAGTCGGCTGGTTTTCAGGCCTTTAAGATGAACAGCCCGTTTTTCGATATATCCTTTGTTTCGGAGTGAGTCTGTACGCTTGGGAACAGACCGCTTGTCTTGGCCGCTCTCTTTCACGAGGTCACCTTGCAGAATTCCAAGCTCGCGGTGAGCAGCTATGATAGAGAGCAAGACAAACTCGGTCTCAAAGACTTTCGTCAGATCTTTTGGGTGACCACATATCGCAAGCCACATACGTTCTTCAGTGACATATACTCTTAATGCATCCTTTCCTTTAGTTGGTTGAGGACGCACTGTGTCTAACGGAATGTGATGCTGCTGAACGTTAAGGTCTGGAGGGGTGTTCAAGTTGCATATATCTTTTGTGGCTTCAAGAGTTACTGGCGTTTGTACGTTTCGGTACTGAGCTTCCACTGCAGAAAGTGACATCTTGTTGCCCTTTCCATCCCTGCCGACAAGCACATCGGGATGTTTGGTCAGCCATCTCCATACCTGTTCCTGGAATGCGCGGTCAACAGTAGGTTTATCATATCTTCGAGCTTGCACAAGCTCATTTGGTGCTACATTTTCATTGGTAGATTGGTAGAAACGGCTGACAAAACCAAGGATATCGGCAGGCTTGCTTCCTGTTTGATCGAGTCAATCACGGTGGATGTGCACTCCTGTAGCGATTCACGAAAAGTTCACTTTAATGGATCCGAATCAATTTGCGTAGGGTTCATGACATAGGAACGTTTGATGTTGAAGGTGACAGAACGAGTTGCAGAAAATTTTGACTGGACTCACCTCGCTGGCCGCTGAGGGCAATTTCACCAAGCAAAAATTGTATCAACTCATCCAAGCTCCCCGTCATCATCCCCACCCCAGCTACTATAGAGAGAGCACTGCTTCAGTTCATCTGGTAGGCGGCAAATATGAATCTCGAACGGCAGAATATGGTTTCAACAGGTCTCCATGGTCGAGCGGCAGCTGGTAGTAGGTGGGGCACTTTGGGTAGCTTGGCATAACCTGTATTATATTTCAACCACTGCACTGGCAGTACGGGGTTGGTAGTATTGGTTATCGAATATCTTTAGGTTATTGATATTGCGTAAGCGTGTTCGGGCTCAGTATTTATTTGGAAGAAAGAAACAAACCAGGTAGCAGTTTTGTGGAACGAAGTGTACGGTCATCGCGATATTCCTAGGCAGAACACAAGAGTAGGCATGCTGAATTTCGAGTTGATTCAAGTCTACTTTTTTGTCACAACGGCAATGTGCAGACCAAGGTATTAAGCGCTATCACACCCTAACACCAGGTCTCGAATGTACTGGGTTTCTAAATCCAGCCTGGCTGAAAAAGAAACAGTGAGCTAATAACGCCATTTTGATATGACTGTAGAAAACATCAAGGCACTAAACGCAAGCATTAGAAAGAGCTGGAGATCTTTTGATTCAGGCCTCGAAGACATGTCTGCCTCTTGCTGGGAGATGCTGTGCCACGAGAATTTCCGCCTCCTGCCGAAAGAAAGTCAAATGCTGCGAGCACGACTAAAGCTTAGATATTGGTGTGTTGAAACAAACTGGCCATCATCGATGAAGGATTGAAGCACCATGTTCTCAATCTAGGCCAGACCTCACGATGCAACGGCCCGTGCAGCTTGATTTGTGCGTCGACTATTGCGTGGTTTCGTGTTGGAGACTGTGCTCCATCCGTCTTCGTCCATGCTTTTCGCGGTATCTTCAGCAGACGGTCCACTTCCCTGTGCATGTTGGCCTCTCCAAGCGCCTCCTGCCCCCCTAGCAGGAGGTGCATCTCGCACAATCTCTTTGGGCTTTACCGCTTTGTCATCTGTAGGAGCAACGGGTGCGTCACCCTCGGCTTCCTCCTCATCCGCTTCCATTCCGTTTTCGTTTTCACTAGCACGTCGCAGTATCTCAAGGTGTTTGCCTGCTGGGTTTTTCTCGGTGCCATTATCTTCGTCCGCGGTAGGACCGGCTTCCTTCGAACCCTTCTCTGCCAGTGCCTTGTCTTTGGCTTCTTTTGCTAGACGCTTCTCCTCCGCCTTCTCCGCTTTGGCTTTCTCTTCAGCCTCCCTCCTTTGGCGAATAGCCATCTCCCGCTTTTCTTCAATCTCCTTTTCTTTGGCGGATGTGTCCACGGGACGGGCGGCACCGAACGGGCTTGCTTTTGATTCCAAAGCTAGAGTAGTTGTAGCAGGTGATGAACCTGGCTCAGCCTCTGAAACAGTCCTCTTCTGAAGATTCAACTTTGGGCGGGTAGCAGGAGCTGGAGAAGGTGGATTGCTAGGGTCGCGAGAAGGCGTTGGCGACTTTGCAGGTGCGTCGGGTCGCATTTTCGATCGCCACTGATTGTCAAGCTCCGAGGCCATGGGAGGTCGCTCAACTGGGGGCTTTTCCTGATACTCCCGCCTTGATGGTCGAGCTCCATCTTGAGATCGGCCAGTACCTTCTCCCCAAGCTGGTGAGCTTTTTCTGAATGCCGGACCATCCTTGCTCCGTTGGCGTCCTCCTTCGCTTAATGAAGGGGGAACAGCTGCTATGGCCGGTGACAAAGGTCCTTTTCGCTCCCAATTCGAGAAGTCTCGCACCTTTCCGTCTCCCTGATCAAATTGTCGTCGACTTCCTCGATCGCTTCCCGCATCAGATGTGTTATCAAAACTTTTATTCGGAAAGCTTGGGCGGTCCGAGACTCTTCGCTGTTGAGCTGGCAAGTCCGGAAGCGGGCCTTTTCTTGACCAATCGCTGAAGTCACGTCCATCTTGCCGTTCTTTCGCTGTGCAAATGGTTAGTGAGATGCCCAGAAGCCAATAGGCAATCTGAAATTGACTTACGGGGGTCCGCAACGCTGACTCTGATTGTTCGACCTGCAAGACTCGATCCTGCGTATGATAGTGCCTTCTTTAGCCCATCCAAAGTCGCGAATTCCACATAGCCGAACCCCTTAGGTTTTCGGTCCATCTTATCTTCCACAATCCTGACCTTCGTAACCTGACAGTCCTTGAAGAACTCACTGACTTCGACTTCAGTTGTATCGAATGACATATTGCCAAGATGAGCAGTGTAGGGAGGCTCGGTGGGAAGTGGCAGCTGCTCTCGTGGTGGATATCCGTCTCTGCGGTCTAGCAAATGCCTATTAAAATAACGAAAGGGTGTCCGGAGTGGTGCGCATTACCATTGTAGCCATTACCCATGCCCGTGGTGCTGCTGAAAGCTCGTCGTTCACCCCCGTAACCAGAGCGCGACTCGGTGGCTAGTGAAGCGTCAGATACGACACTAGACCTTGGAATGAGTTTTGTTGGGAGATGAAAACCATACAAGGAAGTGGCATGTCCTCCATCTCATCGGCCCAGGATCCATAATCTGCATTTTGTCAGTCGAAAGTGCCGCACATCGTAGGTGAATCTTACTCTCATCCTGCAAGAAAGTCCCGAGGGACATCTTCTCAGTCTTCTTCTTTGCTGGCGCTGAACGCATCTGTCAGCTGGCTCCTATTCAAGTGCGAAACAACCAAGATCTGTTGGTAGTGAAGAGCATCGGATATGAGGTTCGAGCCCTCTTACCCATGATTGCAAGGATGCAGCAAGCACACTGCCAGGCGTGCCGCTGCTCGGAGTGAGTCTGAGATCTGAATTGACCTCGATGAGATGATCTAGAGGAGCGCGCAACAGTTATCAAGATGGATGTTTTATGTAAAGAGGTGGATAGAAAATGGCTTTAGGTAAAATGACGAGTAGCGTGCGGTATGGAACAAGTCTTGGACGAAAATCTTTAGGCAGCGAAGCGGCTCAAAGGAAAATATGTAAAATGATGGCTAGTAAAAAGCTCAACCACCAATTAACGTGCTACAGAGTTCTCTGTACCTAGAAATACTTTACTTGGGCCTTGGCTGCATGCGTTATTTGAAGCTCTCTTCGGACATCGCCAAATAAACACTGTCAAGCAGTGGGACATGCCACAGACTGGATGTCATGTCCGTTCCGCCTGCAAAACCTGAATATATCCAGCGGGCCTTCATTGATCCCATATTTCCTGCCTTGACTGTTGGTGCTGTATCAGGTAAGCTCTACCTTTCCACAAGCTATTTGCAAGAACATATTGCATGAAGGGCTTCCTGCCATACCACTACACATCTGAAATATAATATCTAAGTCGCTCCTTTGTCTGTTAGGTGCAGCAGGTCTGATTGGAGGAGGGTTCGGAGGACTTGTACTCTCAAAGCACCCAGTGCTTTTTGCGACTGCTGCTGGTCTGCAGTGTTTTGGCCTTGGCTCGACATTCTGGTGTATGTCTATCCGCAAGACAAATCATCGCGTCCACGCTGAACCGATCAGACGTTCGAAATGTCGGCATCGTAGCGTCCACCCAGAGCAAGCTCTCAAATAGAGAAACTGTACTCCACAGTACCTTTGCTGGTAGTATGGCCGGTGCTGTAAACGGCGCAATCAGTAAGCTTTCAACTTCCCAGAAACAGAGCCTCTGCTTAGACTACGAGGGTCAAGGTCAAATGTCCTTCCAGGGGCATTAATGTACGGCATCCTTGGCATGCTGGGCCAGGGAGTGTACAACACCTTTCAGCGAGGTGGAGACGAGGTTGGAGACAGAGTGCCTTATTCTCAACGGCTACTGGATTCCCGTTGGGTCCCTCTCAAGCGCCTTTCAGATGAAGACTATGTGGAAATGCTCAACGAAAAGACCATCAAGATTGATGCCGAAATTGCCATCATAGATGACAAGATCGCAGCCTTGCAGAAGAGCCGAACGAAGGGCGGTTAGAGGCGAAGACGTGTGTTACAAATCTTGAATCGGATGATGCTGTTGAAACATGCTTGAAGCCATCAATTCAGGCTCAAACTGTCACATACCCATATCCAAAGGACAGGGAAATCTGTCAGAATACTAGCCAGAAGTGTACAAGAGGCGCAAATATGGGAAACATATTTCCAAAACGCTGTCACGTTCAAGGTCTCCGTTATCTGGGAATGGAAGCGATTCTTCGGATACTACCTCGATGTTGGCGAAATTATGCTAAGTGCGTTGGGTTTGACTAGAGCAGCCGCTTTTGATACATTTCAAATAGATTCAAGAACGCGCTGTACGGGCTGGCGAGAACGATATATGCCCTGTCAACAATCATTCTCAATAAACCCCGCCTTGTTGTTGATGCTGTTAGCTGATTAAGATGGGAACATCCTTCTGCATCTATGTTGTAAGAGCCAATGATAGGGTGTCTCGGTGGATCGAGGAAAGTATCGATAGTTATACTAATGATATCTGTAAACCATTTCTCCTCCCATTCAAGAGCAGTAGCGATAAGTCGTGGAGCCTCAATCGTCTGTACATACTAGTACGGGCTATGTTTTAGTAGGTGAAAGCTAACCAACGAAGGTGAAGCCTCTAATTTGCGATGTTTGGTCCCAGAGATCAGCGTCACCCAATCTCCACCCAATTTTTTTCTTTAATGTTACTTAGACAATCTCCCGCCCAGACGCCCGTACGAACCTGAGACTTGGCGTTTTAGCTTAGTACTAGTTTACAATAGCCGCGATGACATCTTTGGGCGGCTCCCTTCATTGCTGTGATCCCCGTTGCGATCCCACCTCTTCACAGCTGATCCGAAGCGCATAATATACTGTTGCATAACTATCCCACCATATCCAGAGCCGAATACATCCACAGTCCTTCTCCCCCTAGCACTGTGAAGCAAAAGTTCAACAGTCTTGCTTTCCGTATTAATTGCGAAATTCACTCACGCGATGGCCAAGGGCAGATTGGCGGAGCCAAAGGACTTCATGGACTGGAAGATACGGATATCGCACGCCAAGTAATTCATGAGATGAGAAGTTTCTGCTTTGCGTCAGCGCATTGGTCAAGTCCGAATGGTGCAGAGCGTTGCATCCAAGGTCTTTCCCTATGGCTCGCCTAGGTATCACCACCATCTCGGGCCTGCTGCTCCTCCTCCTGTATATCTCGTCCTTTGTCCTCTTTGCGATTATTAGAATCACCACGGGATTTTCAATTCAGAGATTAGGATATTTGAGCTTGCGCCGGATAGCATATACACCAAAAGCAGGGATACGAATCGAGGTTCGCGGATTGGGCCTGTCGCTTCATCGTCCAACCTTCGTTCAACCGACATGGATCAGCTTACGGCTAGACAGCCCCAGAGTTATATTAGACCTCTCGGTATTGAATGGCAGCCCGAAGAGAACAAATGGCCGGATTCAGATGGTGGATAAACAATCTCAGCACTCTGCGAAGTCGTTTTCTGCGCCAAATGGATCAACGAACGGCCCACGGCGACATCGCAGCCAGCTTTGGAGACATCTAACCGATACCAAAGAAGGTATCAAGCGGTTGCACCGTAAAGTACACTGGCTTAGATTATTGGATGTCGTCGCTGTTGATGCAGCTATCGAAGTGGTGGATGTCGGTTCCATCCGGATCGGCCACTTTACAATGGCCGTTGATACGAGACGCAAGACAGTTGATCGAGGTCGCCTATTTCGGCACAAGAAAGACCCCTCAGGAGATCAGCGACCTGCGGAATGGATCATCACCACCAAAAGTGTTCTTCTTATGGTTGCTGGATCTGAACCTGGCGAAGTGCTAGACTCTATGAGCCTTAATATCCACGGCATTCTGTACAGAAAACGGGAAGGTCTTCGAGATACGTCTATTGCCATCAAGTTGGGCCGCTTACACATTCCTTTCGACGATCTCCTTACGATCTCATCCTATGCCAGAGCTATAACCATCTCTGCTAGAGAAGCTGCTGTCAGAAGTCCTCTCGAAGAAATCTCGTTCACTGACGTTGTCGAAGAATTAGACAGGCCTGGAAGTCGCGAGGAATCCATTGTTCAAACTGTAGCAGATTCTAAGGAATTCATCAGCTCCATTTTGAGAGGCGTACAGGAGATTCAGATGGCTCTCAGCTTCATTCGAGTATCGAGGCAAATCACCTCTTTATCGCATCTTACCGCGCCCCTCACTGTAAACATTGTGACACACGAAGTTGGCATCGACCTGCATCGTCTTGATCAAGGAAGCCCAGCCCATCGGATGTACTTTTCGCGGTCAGATGTGGCTCATCAAGCACTGATTGCTGCCATATCTGTATCCGTCAGTCTGGATGATGCTGAGCATTCACCTAGCAAGATTATGTACATTCCTATGGCAACTACCACCGTCAAGACTACGTTACCATCAAAGACAGTAACATTTGCAGAGGAGAGAGACGCAACTGAACGCAATGCCAATATCTTGTTTGCCAACCTGGTCGTCACGTCACCTTCTGTGGACCTTGATCCAAGACATCTTGCTCAAATACTAGCCCTCCTTCGCGCGAAAGGCGAAAATCCAAGTGTCAGACAAGATGGCAACCACCGACTTATCTCGCGCCTCCTACCGAAAGCTAGCATCAAGCTGTCTATTCATGAGCCCGTGGTTAGGTTCGTGCTACCTATCAATAACTCAACCTCTACCAATCCTGACGACTACGATCTCATCATATCTGCTGTGTCTTCGATCTCCCTGGATGTCGAATCAACGCATTCTACAGAAGGGGAGATTCACTACTCACTAAACTCAGTCTTTCGCCTTTCATCGCACCAACTATACTACCAGACCTCGTCAGGGATCAGACATGATCTTGTCGTTGCAGAGGTTCTTGAACTGAAAATGGAATTGGATGCGACAACCGAAGTTCGCATGCTGGTTTCTGGGAGCCTAAAATCATTTTCTATCCATATGATGAGGGAGGAGGTCAGCAACGGAATTTACAATATCGTTAGAAATTTCAGGAACAATTTTAAGCTTGACGAGCAGGCGTTAACATTAGTGGCTGGTCGCCCCAACTTTCTCCGTCGGCTACCTGTCTGGCTGATCGAGCTTCATCTGGAGGGTTCCGATTTTAGTATTGAAGTCGCTGGCATCGACAAAGAAATATCCCATCAGACCCGGGGTCTTGCCATGCGACTCGATTCGTGGACTGCGGAATACGAGTCGCAGCGCGCCCTTAAAGAGCGCCGACCATCTTCGGTGGGGCGTAGGACAAGCGCCAAGTCCCGTCGTGACGAATCTTCTAAGCAAGGACTTGATCCAGCGCATGAAAAGACTTCGCATACGCAATCTGATGGTCGCAGGTTGACTATCCACGTCAAAGGCCTCGAAGCTTTCATCATTGAATCCACACGGCTATGGGAACCCGAGCCTTCCATGCGTTTGCCTAGGTTTGAAGTTACCTTTAGCACTTCACGAGACTTGCAAGGACCAATCCTTCACATCAACTCAGCAGTCAGTGCTATCCACCTCTGTTTTTCTCTCTATCGCTATTACTCTATTGGTGTCGCTATCATGACCTTGAAAGATGCATTTCAGGGCCCTGTCTCTCGAGCTCCCACACAAGAGCTTAAGTCGTATCTGTCCACTGGGAAGGCGCAGGCAGCGGAGCACGCCGTGCGCTCAAATACCATGGCGGGTGCAGAACTTGTTGCAGTTGATATTAAGGTTGCTTTCATGCAGGTTCAAGCTGGAATGGCGGCGGATCCACCAATGCTCCTTCAGATATATGATGTTGTTGCAGGTCGTCATCGGTGGTCTGCGCCTTTCCTAAAGTCTCACTTGCTACGGTTGCATGTTGAGGCTCCACACCTAAGAAGAGTCTGGGCGCGCTTGATATCCATGAATAGCATTCGTGTGAACATGCGCCAAAGCCGGAAGAAAGTAGGAACTTCTTTTGTCACTGAACGGTCCATAGACCTTGCGACAGAGTTTATTCGTTTGGCGGTTCCCCACGGGCTGATCGTCTATAAGGTTTTTGACAACTTCGTGAATACTGTAAAGGCCATGGAGCAGCTGCATCACAGGTTCAGGACAAGAAAAAAGGACTATGTCCTAGAAAAAAGTCCCGAAGGACCGAAGCGTATTCCAAAAATCTCCCTTCGGAGTAAAGTAATCATGTTCGAGATAGAAGATGATGCCTTTGAGTGGAAACTTGGGACTATTTACCGTGTAGGCCTCGCGGAGCAGAAGCAGCGTATGGCTCGGGCAGAGGCCTTCGTTTTGAAGGCCAAAAGACTCGGGGACGATCGACCTCCAGGCGCTGCTTCACGGCATCGAGCACACTCTTATCAGCCTCAAACACATCCTCGGCCCAGCCACGAAGGACCAGACAGAAGTCATAGTGAAGAGCAATTTTCAGGTCAACGCTCCTCCTCACGAGGACCTCACGGCCATGACAGCAAATCGATACGTTACAATTCTGATGGCGTATGCAGTCTAACTGGGTCAGCCAAAGTGCAGGTGAAAGCAGCGTCGGAGAAGCTGCAAGAACATAACGCCCGATCGTGGAAGAGGAAAATTGATAATGTGCTCGCTCTGCAGAATAATACCGTAAAAGATGTCAGACGAATGTTCTCAGGAGCTGACGATCCTCCCCACGATGCAGAAGATGAAGAAACCATACTTGCAATTCCAAAGCGACCTGGATTGATGTCAGCAGTTATTAGCGACCTACACTTAGTTCTGGACAAACCATCGTTCCCCTTGTCTGACTATCCTAAATTTCTTCACGAGGTGGGTAAAGGTATGCCACTTGACATGCAATATTCATTGCTTCTACCAATGAATATCTCCCTAGACATGGGCGAGGCTCAGGTCATGTTGCGTGACTATCCATTGAAACTTCTTCATGTACCTGCAATCAGGCCAGGCCAGCAGCCGAGACTTCCCAGCTGGTCTCTGCGGACTGACTTTGTCATAGCGGAAGAATATCGCAATGCTGAATCGACTCGAAACGTCAAGGTTGATATTGTGCCCTCCGGTCAACATGAAGACGATTGTAGCGAATTGTTGGGCTTTTCGCTAGACGTTCGTCGCACCGTTTCGCCTGTGAAAACGTACTCGAAAGTCATGATTGATGTCAACACGAGTCTGCCCACGACAATATCCTGGGGCACTTCGTATCAACCTGTTATTCAGGATATGATGATGATCATTGAAGGTTTCACGAAGCCAGAGATAGATCCATCGGATCGTGTCGGTTTCTGGGACAAGATTCGGCTTAGCTTTCATTCACGAATGACCGTCAAATGGAAAGGCGGCGGAGATGTGCATTTACGTCTTAAAGGTAAGCTCACTCTGGGGTTCCGTGAGCAGCCAGCTAAGTTAAGCAGGCTCTCGCGATCCGTATGTGACAACTGGCTATGGCGCTGGCTTCGTTATGTGTTGGCGAGACAGCGTACAATGGGCTATACATACAACCGACGACCCCAAGGAATTTATGACTGTGAAGAGCGGTGAGTATGTACTTGCTATACCAGATTATAGCAGTCAAGTTCGTCACTCTGCAGCACGTTCAAAAGATGAAGATGGCATATCTACCAGTAGCACCCAAAAGAATTCAGCCATCTTTAAGAAGGTGATCATGAAACTCTCAGGCAACGTGCAATGGCTTGCTGGGTTAGTTTTTGAACGGAACTCCAGTGGTGACAACCGGTTGTTTGATTTCAAGCCTCATTATGATGTGGTGTTGAAGAATGCTAAGTATCTCGACAAACACACACTTGCGGTAATCCGAAGCTTCTCTACTCTCCTGCTTCATCGCTGACATGCCTATAGGATTACGATGCATTTGGAGGGTTCCGAAGCCACCACATACATCTCTCGATAGCCGTTGCTGCTCCTTATGACAGGGAATGGAGCTTGAGTAATCTGAAGCCGTCCGACAGCTATAACGCCGTTCATCTAAGCCCTAGATTCTTTACGCATTTCTTTGACTGGTGGTCACTCTTTTCTGGGGTCATGTCTCTACCCATTCGACAAGGGCGTCTCTGGCGAGGCCCTGAGAAAACAAGCAAGAAATTCGGTCGTCATCTGGCAACTCTCAAGTACAATTTACTGTTATCGCCACTGTTCGTAGCTCACGTCTACAAGCATAAGGATGCTGAAGACTATGGGGAAGATGTGGTCTCGGCGACTGGTTTGAAGCTACGACTTGACAGTTTTATGCTTGACCTCCATCAACGACGAGAATGGTTTGACACGGTGATCAAAGGTAAATCAAAACAGACTCGCACAAGCGGGATGCGCATCAATGAGGGCCAATTGGACTTTATCAATGCAGATATGCGAGCCGTCTCGGCAAACATTGGTGGCACGAATGCAGACGATCTTTTACGAGCCAGTGACGAAGCTCTGTCCACATACCAACAGCCTGTCCCTACAGGCGATATGTCACGGTTTACGATCACTGATCACGACGTATCATGGATTGACATGGACGACTTCGTCGAGCTTGACTGGGTTCTGCCTTCCGAGTCGAATCCAGAAACCAAAATCCTACCACTAGCTTTTACGCCACGTTTTACATACTTTCGGCAGACTGACCATGGAGGGGCAATACATGGAGATGAGACTCGTACCAGCCCTTTCGGCGACGAGCCTACCCACTACTGCATTATGTCCCATGACAATGATCCACGCCGAGTGCAGATGGAGCTTGTAAAGGAGAGAATCGATTCCATTACCAGACAAATCGAGTCTCACACTCGGTTGATGGGCGAGCAGGAGTTGCTCGTCATCCGCGACGGAGATCAGGACAGTGGCTTGAAGCGTCATTACGATATCCTCGTTCAGCAGAACAAAGAGCTTCACGCCAAACACGAGTTCCTCGTTGCTGGTCTGGCTCGCTTGACTGAGCAGAGATCATCAGCTAACGGTTCCGCAACTCAGTCCGGCCCAGGGCCAGCCAGCGAGACGCATGCCTATGTTCACTACTCTGAAGCTGAGGCCAAAGCACATGATGCTCTTGATTACCTCTTTCCATCGTCACAAGAAGAATTTCCTAGCAATTTCAACAACCGATTCATGGTACACAACATTCAGTTCAAGTGGAACAATTCTCTTCGCAATATCATCCTTCGCTATGGCCACCAAGTCAGCCAAAGAAGAGGATTCGTTTACTATATGTCACGAAGGGCAGTGAAGTTCATTCTTGATATCGTCGACGAGCAGAATAGATCGAAAGCGCATCTGTCGCCATGCACAGAACAGGATGACAAGTCCCCACGACCCCGCATAGAATCGGAGACCGATGACAGAGATCAAGAAGCTCTCGTCAAAGACCGTATCGACCAGCTGCTTCAAGATGCGAAGCGTTTCGTTGATGCTGACGATCCAATGAGAGGTGGTAAGCAGCGCGATGTTCGGCCTTCAACAGCCAGTTCGGAGAATCAGCTAGCAGAGGACTTTGTTCCGCAAAACAGCTATCACGTCCGCCTCATTGCACCTCAGATTCAACTTCAAAGCGAGAAGAATAACAAGGCTAGTGCAATTGTAGCAGCGAAAGGCATGCAGCTCAAGGTGGTCTCTATCATGGACAAAGCGAGGATATCAGATGATGTCAGTGGCCTGGTGCAACGTCAATTTTCACTTGACATGGATGGGGCGCAATTTTTCGTCACCACAAAGAAAAGATTATATAAGTTCTTGCATCTGTACTCAGGAAACAAGTACGGCAATCCTCCAGGCTCGTCTTGGCCTCCGTGGGTATCCCTGGAGGTGATGTTCGATTTCGAGCTTAATCCGTTCGGCTTCGAAAGAGTCATCCAGAGAACTTCAGCAACATTGCGGTACGAGAAATACAACACACTACGCCTCAAATATAACGAGGAAGTTGCAAGGGCCGAAACCAATCCAAAGGGCAAGTCGGCTCGAGCTGAGAGTCGTATTGACCATCTTTCTGTCGACTTCCCTTGCATCAAAGCTACTTGTGATTCTGCTCAATATTATGCTCTGTACATTATCGTTCTTGATCTCTTGCTGTATAGCGAGCCACGAGAGAAAGTGAGAAGTGAGCGACTGGAGAAGATCATGCTGGCGTCGGATTTTAGTGACCTGAGAGGGGCGCCGGAGATTGCCAGCAGTCTCCAGGAAAGGATTCGTCAACTCGAGGACATCAAGAACCATTTCCAGATCAATGCCAGACACCTTGACAGGCAAGGTTGGCAAGATCGAATGAGCCTCGAGAAAGACTTGGCCAGCTGTGAAGACGAGCTGTTCTTCATCATGAAAGCCATCACCACGTCGCAATCTCAGCGCAAGAACGATGATCGGCAGACTACACAGTCCAAAGGTCTTCTACGCTGGTATCTCAGGGCTTCTGAGGTTGTCTGGCATCTGATGAGGGACAAGGACGAAGCGCTCCTAGAGTTCCAGTTGGGCGATGCAGCTTATGAGCGCATTGATAACAGTGATGGATCCAACCACAATGCGATGGAAATTGGCCGGATACATGGGTTGAACCTCCTGCCCAATGCCTTGTACCCGCAAATGATTGGGCCATACCAGGATCTGAACTCCAAGAGCTCGCTACAACGGGACGACCAGAAGATGATCAAGGTGCATTGGTACATGCTCGAAGCTATTGCAGGAATCCCGGTGCTTGAGCAATTCCAAGTTACGCTGTTCCCACTGAAGGTCCAATTGGAGCGAGAGCTCGGAAAGAAATTGTTCGAATACATCTTTCCCGGAGTGCAATCAAGCGCGTTTGAGAACAAAAACTTCTCACCTTTCATGATCAGGAACATGCAACCCCTCGACGACGGGACAGATTCGGAGGCGGATGAAGCGGCGAACGCGCTGCTTTCGGATAGCAGTGCGCAAACGTTGTCCCAGAATAGCTCGATTAATGTATCAGAGACTGCAGCCATCGGCCGTAGGATGCAGCCTACTTTAGCTCTGTCACATGACGAACCTCTACCACATGCAAATCACAAGCCGACAGGTTTGGGTATCAGTAGCGAGCACCACCGCCTCGGCCTCTTCAGACATGCCAACTCATCTTCAACGTCCAAGCTGGTCACGAGTGGCGCATCCCATCGGAAAGGGTCACCAGACAGTGTACGTCTTCCTTCGAAGCGATCCATGGACAACTCTTCCACAAATCTCTCGGCCATGAGTATGGATGAGTCGAGAAGGAAGTTCGGTCTTCCACGCTCATCAAGCAAAGATCGAAGAGATAAAGAGAAGAAGGACAAGCCGTCGGATGAGCTCTCCCAGATGATGTCACGAGCGAGCAACTACATGACATTAGCGCATGTTAAGCTTGACAGTGTTGTCATCTGTCTTAGCTACAAAGGCAAAGGGGATCGCAATCTCGAAGATCTTCATGACTTTGTCTTCCGCATGCCCGCGCTAGAGTATCGGAACAAGACTTGGTCTAACCTGGATCTGGCACTGAGACTAAAGAAGGACTTCATCAGGGCTCTTATCTCCCACACTGGGGCTATCATCGGCAACAAGTTTCACCACCGCCCCAACAAACAACAACAATTGCGCCTCCGCAAGGCGGCTAGCTCTTCGCAGATGCTGTCCAATAATGCCAGCCCAACAAACACGCCGAGTACTAGCGAAGCGGATAGCCTCATCAGCTCTGCACCCCGCATGGAGAGATCAATCTCGCCTAGACGGTCTTTTGCTTCTACCAATCGACGAACTTCGCCTCTGATGAGGGTAGACTCGTCCCCTTCCAGCATCCACAGCTCGCGACCATCCAGTCTAATTATGACCCCCATCAATCCTCCTACCGAGCCCACTCGAGCTCAGACTTTCCACGGCGGTCCAAGCCTGATAACGAATGCGCTGAGCAAGCACTTCTCGCGTGACCATAACCATCGAGGTCGGCAGCCTGTAGAAGATAGTGCGGAAGACTCAGATCAGGAGAATACCAAGAAAAAGGCGGTGTTGCTTCTGGGGAAGAAGATCCTGGAGTCGTTGAGCTGATTTTCTATCTTCTTGAACAACTTTACTTTGTTGCCTGTATTTCTTACTGCATTTGGTTGGCGTACACATGGCTCTAATGGACGAACCAGCACGGATGAGGTATTAGCATTTGCAGGCGCTGGACAGGGGCTGTTCAACCTCTCTAATGTAGCTCGACCACAGAGAGGACAAAGTTTGGATAGATGAGGTACTCTGCGGCACGAGAGCTACGGGAGTGCAATACCCTATAGTGGATGGGTAGGTGGAGCTAATGTTTTCAAGAGGGAACGAGAGTGAAGATGTGTTCTGTCACATAGTCTTTGGCAGCAGAATGATCAGAATCTATGGTTCTCCATATCATGTTTCATGTCATCCATTGTCCTTTTGCTGATGCCATGCTTCTACCATCCCTGGCTCTGCTTTGATGACGATGAAGCGTCTAAAAAGGCCGTGCTATTCTGGCGTCCTAATCATATTCAGAATCATGTAATGTACTGTGTATGTTCCTGTATATTCTCTCACTGACTGTACTATACTTAGTAGTACCCTGTAAGAATTTTCTGAATGCCAAGCCACTGATCCGCTTCCAGCGCTAATCATGCAGCTAAACTGTCAAGACCTGCATAGTGGCGTAATCTTGCTAACTGATCTAGGGCCCTCCGGCCCGATCTTGCATTAAAGTTGTTTCTCCTTGTTGCTTGTTGCATGCTGCATGCTGCATGCCATCTCGTACGTACGTCGTAGTACATCTGCTCTGCTCGCTGTGTTCTTACAAGAAAGCTCCTGTTCTATTCTGCTCCATTTCATTCCATCATTCTGTCTCCGAGACAGGGAGCCTGTGTGGAACATTGTCTCAGCGAAAGCCCATTCACCAGCACTTTCACAAAGCAGCTGATCATCCTACAACCTCCTCCGCATGTCCCTCGTGCAATCCCTTCCTTCACAAAACCTCCCACACACTGTCTGCGCACAATGCGGCTCCGGTATCTCTCACATAGGAAGCGCCGAAGAAGCGCAGCGTCGTATCCTTGAGCTCGAAGCGCAGATCCGGTCATTGAACACTAAGGCTGCCGCTGCTGGTAAGAGCATCCCGCCCCATCCCTTGTTCCCCGGGTTGTGCTTGCTGACCCTTCCAAAGCCGACAAGCTGGCCGATTACGAAGACGAGCTCAATCTCCTGCGCTCGAATGCTCAAAATCAACGACCGAGCACAAGTTCCTCATCTGGCATCGTTTCTCCACCCCTCGAAAACGGCCATCGCATCCCTTCTCAAACCCAATCCTCCCCACCGACGCAAGGACCCTCGCGTCTGTCCTCCCTGTCCTCGCTCCTCCCCGGCCGCCGCACCCCCAGTCCAATCCCACCTGGCTCCCACTATCACCAACAACACATCCACCCACTCCCTCCCCACCGTCCTCCCAAACAACACAACCCAACCACCCGGTTCCCCCGATCCCGCCTCCGAAACACTAACCACCATGCTCCAAGCCGAGAAGAAAGCGCGCCTCGCAGCCGAATCATCCCTGTCCCAAGCACACAACGAGCTCGAGGAGCTGACGGCGCAGCTCTTCAGCCAGGCCAACGAGATGGTCGCGACGGAGAGGAAAGCAAGGGCGAAATTGGAGGAGAGGATCGAGCTGTTGGAGAAGAGGGACGGGGATAAGAGGGTGAGATTAGACAGGCTAGAGAAGGCAATGGGGAGGATTGAGAGGGTGCGAGGGTTGGTTACCTAGCATGGTCTTAAACTTTGCTCATGGGGAAGTTTTAGCGACATTGCGAATTGGTTATGTATCCATTTTCACCCTGGCATTTTGCTGGCTTAGTTGGGTAAATGATGGTGCACATTTCTACTAACTTAGGAAATATTCTTGATGGCTGCTATAATCGACACACAGCTTCTTTTTCTAGCACGGTGTTGGGGTGTTGGGCGCAGTCTCCCATATAGGAAAGCGATAGCTATCCAGGTACGCCCAGGCGATTCAGGCTCAGACAGATAGACGGACAGGAAAGTCTCACCAGATATCATCCATCATAGTAATCCTTGACGAAGAGGAAGAAATAATTTATCTCTCTAGTTCTCCACTTTGCTCTGCTTCACTGTCTTGTGCTTTTCGAGTCCTGGCTGCTTCCTCGACTCAGCTTTGGTTTTTCCGAGTACCACGTCCAGAGGGGCTTTTGACTGATGTTGTTTCTAGGTATTGGCCATCTCGCATTCACCGGCTCGACAGGTAGGTAGGTTAGATGTATGCAGCTCTCTAGCCAGCATATTCTATAGATCCGCCAGGGTAGATAAGTAAGAACCCCTCTATCCATCCCATCCCGCACCGAAACCAAGTTTCACGGAGTCCTCTTATTCCTCCTCTCCCCCTCGCGATTCAACCTATCCTGATCCATCTCCACCGGCGGCGTCTCACTGCCATCATACACCCAACCCCTCGCCAGTATCTCTCTGGTCTCCCTCTCCGCATCCTCCCTTCCCTCCTTCTCCTCATCCCCAACCTCCCCCGCCTCCGAGAAAAAGGAGGAGGAGGAGGCAAAGCCCAGCGGGGCACCTGGCTCCGAAACTCCCACTCGCCCTGCGCATCGCTGTACGCCAGCGCGTGCAGGTAGATGCCCAGCTCCTGCGGACCGGGGTCGGAGTACAGGTCCGTGTCGCAGACGGGGCATTTCTCGCCCGTCATGCGCTCGCCTTTGCGGCGCTTGTAGTCGGACACCATGGCCGAGTGTTGGGATACGAAGGAGGCGTATTCGGCTGGGGTGGAGAAGGGGAGGGCGCCTTTTTGGCCGTTTTCGCTTGTTCCTTCGCTGGCTTCGCTGGGGTTTTGCTCGGTGGTTGTGCTTGTGCTGTTAGTTGATGGTGCGCAGATCTGCATCGTCTGCTCCACCTCAACTCGCTCGACCGCATCGCCAGAATCCGCGGTATTGTCATAGTCAATCGCGTCGGCGACTTCGGTCTTTCCCATCTTGGCTAGCCGGCGGATGATCTCTTCGTCTTGGGCGGCGGACGAGTCGTGGATGGCGAGTTTGGAGCCGAAAACTCGGCGGTTGGCGTAGATGGGATCATTGGTGATGGGGTGGCCTAGGTACTGGAGGTGCACGCGGATTTGGTGGGTTCGACCCGTTAAGGGGAGGCAGTGGACTATGCTGTAGCCGGAGGAAGATTCAATTGGGGGGAGAGGTGCGGCCGGTGTTGCTGCTGCTGGCTGGTGTTTGGATGAAGATGTGGGTGGGGCTGGAGAGGGATCAGATGGGATGGGGGTTGATGAATTGGTGCTGTTGTCGTTACTGACGGTCTGCTTGGGTGAGTAGTATGCGATCCGCCTGAAGAGCGTTTTGGCAGTCTTTCCACTTGCTCTTGCTCTATTCAAGCCTAATATTGGACTGATCTGAAGGATGTTCTCTTCACATTTCACCACTCCTCCCAGGTTGCCCTTGACCTCTCCTTCTCCATCCGGGAATCTCCCCTTCACCCTCGCAACGTATTCTTTCCGCATTGTTCTGCCCCTAAGCTTCTCGCTGATCATCTCCGCCTCCTTCTTGTCCTTGCTCACAAACATGACTCCGCTTGTCAATCGATCCAGCCGATTGCATGGTAGCGGATTGAAGGCATAATGCCTTTCCGCTCTCATGATCTCCACAACAGAATTGTAGTTGTACCTCCCTGCTGGATGTACTGGCACGCCAGCAGGCTTATCTATCACAATCATTGAGTCTGTTTCGGAGATTACTCGAATCGGTTGTGCTGTGACTGGAGGCTCGTGCCGGTGTAGGGTATGGGAGACGACATCTCCGTTCTTAACGATCGTGTGTGTATCTTCACAGGGCTTGCCATTGATCGCAATTTGTCCTGTCTCAATGGCATGCTTGTAGTATTCTCTGGTGCGATCACGGAATTCTGTTGCGAAAATGTCAAGGATTTCTCGACCGCGCCATCGCTCTTTGCAAAAGGTGTTATACGTGTAGTGGTACGGCGCAACTCGGCGTAAACCCTCCGATAAGTAGTAAGGACGGGGCCAGGGATCGCATGGTGTAATAACGACGGGTGGTGGAGCAGCTGGCGGAGGATCGGGATCTGAGAGAGGGAAATGGTCAATAGTGGTTGTAGTCAGGGCCATGCTTGGAGATGGGTATGTGCCCTTTCTAGCTAGGTAGGCCAGCACGCGAGCAGAGTGAGCCAGCGAGACTAAGTGGGTGGTCTGATCTGGGCTCCTATGTGAAGTCAGTCTGCGGACATCTATTTTCTGTCCGTCTCTGAACCAAGCGTGAACCTCGGTTGAAACTGCTCATCGTCTACGATCTCTTCTGACCAGTGCTCGAGAACCTGGCAACAAGCCAGATCTTTATGGAAGATGCTAGGGAATGATCTCGCCTCGAAGCGCAAGAGGACGCGAAATGACTATGCCTACCACCTCGAATATCGAACACGCTGGTCAGCACCTATCAGAGTTTACACTTGGCGAGGAGAGATTGATCGGGCTACAGGTCGGACAACGACGTGTACCACCATCTGAACAACAGCATCTACGCCTTTCTTATAGATTCAATTGTCAATGCTTATCTGATTGAGAGGTGCGGCATGAATCTGCAATCATCAGAGCAAATTGGGCTCGTTGTCAGCTCTTACTGTGATTTCTTCGGCTCGGTCGCATACCCATCAGTCCTAGATTTAGGGCTCAGAGCGGTAAAGTTGGGCAAATCCAGCGTTAAGTACGAAGTGGGAATTTTTGAACAGGGCAACGGGGATGTACGGGCTGTGGGTGGTTCAGTCCATGTTTTCGTTAAGCAGAACGGTAGAAGGCCTTCAGAGGATGGTATGGAGTCGGCGATGCGAAAAGGTCTGACGAAACTGCTGGGAAAGGTGTCGGCTAATTTATAACATTGATTCCATGGTGGAACGCTCCACTTTGATAGGGGGCGGCTCTCCAAACTCACGTCAGGCTTTGAAGTTGATACTTTCCGATATCGTGAAGGCGGCACATCATCCGCATTTGAGAACGTAATTTTTGTGATTGAGCTTGTGATTGAGCTTGTGAACCTCGCTAATGCATTCGAATCGATTCGGACCAAGCCTTTCTTCCGTCCGTCTCACACTTCTCTATGACTCTGTTGTAACTCTAGCCCTGCCATTCGTGACCTTCACGCCCAGTGACTTCGCCTTCGCTAGAATCTCTACTCGTTTTCGTGATGATACTGCGTGTGCAATCTCTGCAGCATATGTTCGGTTGTGCATGAGGAGGAGGTCGACATCTTTGGGGTTGTGGACTAGGAAAGCTTTGTGGCCAGAGGGCATCATATGACGAGTCTTCTTGTTCGATCCGAACCCAATCTAGAATAAAAAGCCATCAGCAATTTTGTCCCACGCTCCGGTTATAAACCAATCCTCGTCCAATTTAAGAGCCTCAATATGCTCTGTCTTCGCCTGAACACGTACCGATGGCATAACAGCTTGACCCTTGAATCTCCTCCGAACTCGATTGTCGATTCCTTTCGGTTTACGCCAGTTTGTCGGGACACACATGAACCTATCGCTCTGGTGCCGGGCGAAGCGCTTCGTTCGCTTCTTGACAATCGGAACATGCTTCTTTGCGGAGACCATCTAAGAGACATCAGCATGTGAGGGAGAAGTAGCCGACAAACAAGCAGATTTACCTTGCCGGTCTTGGATGATTTGTATGGGCGCAATCGTTTTGGAGTGGTTGATCATTTATCTCTGGGTAATTTGATGGAATTTCGGCGGGGAGACTGCGCTAAGCCTAGAATAGACTTTTGGGGGGTTGCAAGCCCTAAGGCCGGATAAGTGCTATGGATAGTACTGCAGCCGTGACTGCTTAATCTAAAAGCAATATTGTCCAATTTCAAGCGATTTTCAGTCTATGTAGGAATCTGATGTCTCAATGACATTGGTTGCCCGGTCTGCCCTCCCGGTTTAGCATTGCCCCCAGGAACTCCAGGTCTGCCAAATACTTCCTCAGGAGATTGCCTCGGATCTGCCCTGCCCCCCATAATTGCCTCACCCCATGTTCTTACTTCGGGAGGCACGCCTGTTCTTTCGTTAGGCACGTCTTTGGTCTCGTCTCCAACCTTGACAGTGTCGCTGAAGACGTTAACGACTCCCTTCTCACATGTAACCGAGTGACCGAGTAGCTAGTCCCTTTGAAAGTACTACCGAAGGAGATTGATATCGCCCGGTAACACCATTCTTAGTCTTGGGAGTGGCATCTACATTGTCGGCCGAAGGCAGATGCTTCTGCAGCTGAGTCGACTGCGCTGAGACGGACACAAAAGGCTCATCAGGGCCAAGCAACAATCGTATGCCTGCAATAAAATGCACATCCATCGAGCAGGAAACCTCCTTGATAGGTTAGCACTTTACGCCATCTTCAATCATGATTAGCCTCTCCTTTGTCCAAACGCGTGTATACTTATCCTGTCTCGAAGTACTTTCCTTCTTCAAGCATTTAATAATACTCCGCTTTGAATCCCAATACCCGTCCCATCTGCTTCCAATCTTCAGCAGCTTGGTCGAAGCTGTTCAAGAAGCGGTAATTCTCGGCAACACTCCAGAAAACCTTCTTTGAACCTATCTTATTTCTGTACCATTGCAACAGTTCTATGGCATCTTTCGCGTTCTCTGCGATGGGCTTTTCCGATAGCATGTGCTTGCATGCTGAGAGCGCTTTTGGATATAGGTAGGTTGGTTAAGAATTGGAAGCGCAATGATAACAGCTTGGATGTCAGATCTTGCGAGAAGATCATCAAGGGATCTACTCGGTCCAGAGTCATCTGAGTAGAGGCTGACATCGCTTGTACGCTCGACCAAAGTCTTTGCAGATTTCAAGGATCTGGAGTAGATTGCTTTCAAAGTGAGAATTGATGCAGCTTGGACAGCAGGCTACAGTATTCATGTCATTAGCGAGTCGGTCAAATTGACATAGCGAAACGTACAAGGTGCTCTTCCCCTGCGAAGATGCCTATTTCTCACTGTAAGGATGCAGAAAATGGGCAACAGATGAGTTTCGTACTAATTACAACCAAGAATAGCAACCCCAATAGATATCATGGGTCAGGCTGTTTACTCGGTATGAGGACAGCTTGGACAGAACGAAGCAGGATGTAGGAATTTTCTCCGATTGTCTCCCAAGCTGAATATGTAACCAAGCATGAGCCACGACCTACGGCGCCACTTCCGCCTGTAAGTTAGGTAGGACAGGTTACACAGGACTGTAATGGCCAAGGTGCGGCAACGATTACAATGAAGCTACGTTCCACTTACAAAACCATCATCTAGTATCAAGGCCGTACCTAACTCTCACGTAACACAATTCTACCTTATTATCTTTAGAAGTCACGCAATATCTTACAGACAATGCCGAGTTGGCTTTCGCTCCGAGGGAAAGCCAAAAGGCCGAAGAGTGACACACCAGCGGCCACAATAACCGCAGGCAGCTGCTCAATATCCACTTCACAATCGGGAAAGGTCTTTCCGTCAGGCCTCAAACTACTCCATCAACCGGACGCTGCTGTGGTGGAGTAAGTCATCCTCATTGCTCAAGCCCATTGCTGTAATACCGTCGTTGCTGATTTGAGTAGCATTGTCTTTATCCACGGCCTTACTGGTGATCGGGAGAAGACATGGTCCGGCAAAAGCGCCGTGACTCCATGGCCCAAGATTTTACTGCCAAAAGAGCTCCCTCAAGCTCGAATTCTGACGTTTGGATATGATGCCTACATTGCGGATTGGCGAGCCATGGTCTCGAAGAACAGGATCAGTAACCACTCCAAGAATCTCCTGGCCGCTTTGGCAACTCACCGCGAGAATGATGATACTGTAAAGAATTTACTAACTGAAGTTTTCTATCGGCTTACTGCTGGCTACAGAATAATCGTCCCATTATATTCGTTGCTCATAGCTTAGGAGGTCTTGTTTGTGAAGACGTAAGCTACAACATCATCTCTTCATTAATCAGAGTATTCCCTGAGCTATAATTTGTAGGCTCTCTTAGCATCTAGGAACAGTGCAGACAAATATCAACAGAATATCCTTGAGTACACACGGGGCATCATCTTTCTTGGTACACCACATTCAGGCTCTGCCCTCGCAGAATGGGCCGAAAAATTGGCAAAATTGATTGGCCTTATCAAACAGACAAATCCTCAGATTCTTTCAGTTCTGGAAACTGATTCAGAGGTTCTAGCACGAATTCAGGCTGATTTTCACACCATGATAAGAGCACGGGGCAATAGAGGTTGTCAACCTATACATGTTACTTGTTTCTTCGAAGAACTGCCTTTACCGGGCATTGGTGAGGTAAGAATGACCGTTTTGCGGTGCTATCGCTTCTGTGATGCTACCCATATTCCAGCTCTTGAGCCATTTGTTCAGAATGCGCAGAACTTGTCCGCCCTCATTGCCATCCTTTTTCTGCTCTTGGGCTCCTCTGTACCTACTATGTCGCTGACCTATCTGAACATTAGGTAGTTCCGATGCACTCCGCTATCCTACCCGCCTATGTCTCAATCGGAATCCACAGCAATCACATGGGTATGACCAAATTTGAGACTGAAGATGACCCGGGTTTCATTAGTGTTACAGGGGAGCTTCGGAGATGGGTGAAGGAGCTAATATCAATGCCTGGTAATCTACCCATACCAATATAATAGATTCAAAGACCATGTTTGAGAGCTCTTATAGACAGGCTTGGTGATGGGAGGCAGTCCTAAAGAATACGAGGGAAGACCCTGTACAACGGGTTCGGAAACAGGAATTGGAAATAATGCATTTTAGCTTGTTCTTTCAATTTTCACGGCTTGTGGGACTATGCTAACGCTCATAAAGTAACTACAAGTAGAACATCTCAAGTACCTTTCATGGTTTCGTTCGACAGAGATCTTCAGTTTATCGGCCGCGATGATATCATCGGGAATATTGACCAGAGACTGGAGACTAAACGACGAATTCCACTTGCTGGTATCGGCGGCGTTGGGTAAGCCCTCTGATTTAGTGTGGGAAGCGAAACCCACTGATGCTTCGCATGACACACAGAAAATCTCAAATAGCCATTGAGTACTGCTACAGATTTAGAGCCCAAAATCCTAGTGGCAGTGTATTCTGGGTGCATGCCAACAATGCGTCGAGATTTCAGAATGCATACAAAAATATTGCTAGCAAACTTGGCTTACCTGGCTGGGACGATCCCAAAACCAACTCCCTCAAGCTTGTCTCTGAGTGGCTAAGCGACGAAGACCACGGCCCTTGGTTAATGATATTGGATAATGCTGATGATAGCGAGACGTTTTTCGGCACCAGATCAGATGGTTTGTCGCTTGAAGCCGAACACCCAGCACCCTTGGTCAGCTATCTCCCGAGAAACTCAAAAGGTTCTATCATCATCACGACAAGGGACGCACGTGTTGGCGAGAGGTTATCAGAAAGAGAAAAATCAATTACGGTATTGCCGCTGGTGGTGCAAGAAGCAGAACACTTGTTGCGATCCAAATTGCAACAAGATGCTGAGTGGAGTGAACCGGATGCAGCTGAGCTCCTTAAGTTGTTAGGATGTCTGCCTCTGGCAATTACGCAAGCAGCTGCCTTCATCAGCGAGAACATGATTACGGTGGCAAAGTATACTGACATACTACAAGCCAGCGACTCTGAGCTGACAGATCTCTTGAGTGAAGACCTACAAGATCCCCGAAGAGATCTTGATGCTCCGAGCTCCGTCATACGAACCTTCAAACTGTCTTTTGACCAGATACAGAGGCAAAAACCGCGGGCAGCTCAAATGCTTTCCCTCATGGCGGTTCTGGATCGACAAGGAATTCCAGAGGAATTTCTACACAGAGAAGATGAACGAAGTACTGAATTCATTACTGCCCTCGGAACACTACAAGCTTTCTCTTTGATCACAGCTGAGACGGGGGGGAAGACCTTTACGATGCACCGACTTGTGCATCTATCCATTCAACATTGGCTTGAGCTGCAGAACACAAAAGCAGAATATCAGGACGAGGCTGTGAAAATGCTGTCAGAATTGTTTCCAAGCGGGAAACATGAAAATTGGAAAATATGTGAAGCCCTCTCCCCACACGCTCGAGTTGTGTTGGGGTACAATTACACATCTCAGTCTAGCATGCTGCATCGCGCAACTCTTCTGTACAACGCAGCTTGGTATGATTGGGAACAGGGACGATACAATGTTGCATACAAAGGTGGTTTAGAGTCTTATAACATACGTCAAAGGTTGCTGGGCGAGAATACCTGTAAATCATTAGATAGCTTAGCACTAATGGCTTTGGTGCTATGGGAGCAGGGCAAATATGAGGCGGCAGAGGAGATGAGTCGACAAGCACTGGACGGGTATGAGAAGGTGTTAGGGAAAGAACACCCTGATACGCTAATGAGCATTAATAATCTAGCATTAGTGTTAAATGGTCAGGGCAAATATGAGGCGGCAGAGAAGATGCATCAACGAGCACTAGACGGGTATGAGAAGGTGTTAGGGAAAGAACATCCTGACACGTTAATGAGCGTTCATAATATGGCTTCAGCGTTAAGTGGTCAGGGCAAATATGAGGCGGCAGAGAAGATGTATCAACAAGCACTGGACGGGTATGAGAAGGTGTTAGGGAAGGAACACCCTGATACGCTGATGAGCGTTCTTAATCTGGCATCAGCGTTAAGAGGTCAGGGCAAATATGAGGCGGCAGAGGAGATGAGTCGACAAGCACTGGACGAGTATGAGAAGGTGTTAGGGAAAGAACATCCTGACACGTTAATGAGCGTTAATAATCTGGCATCAGCGTTAAGTGGTCAGGGCAAATATGAGGCGGCAGAGAAGATGTATCAACAAGCACTGGACGGGTATGAGAAGGTGTTAGGGAAGGAACACCCTGATACGCTGATGAGCGTTCATAATATGGCTTCAGTGTTAAGAGATCAGGGCAAATATGAGGCGGCAGAGGAGATGAATCAACGAGCACTGGACGGAAGGGAGAAGGTGCTAGGGAAGGAGCACCCTGGCACATTGAGGAGTGTGTATTCCCTTGCTTATTTGCTCCAAGCCCAAAGGCGGTATGACGAGTCATCCATCCTCTATCAGAGGGCCTGTGCAGGCTTTAAGAAAGTGCTTGGCTTTGACCATCCCACCACTGTCGAATGCTCAGGAAATTATAACTTCATGTTTCAGGAAATGAAGCGACAGAGCCAAGCAAACTGAAGAGAAATGAATTGAATTTTGGTCAATAAAGCTGAGCTTCACTTATCTCATGTAGCTCGATCAGTCCTACCACCTCAACACCGGACCAACACATCGCAGTCGCTGTTTAGTTAAGCTGTAGATCCTTCTCAGCAAGTCAAGAGAGCCCAGCACGCAGTAGACCATTTCCCGGCCGCTTTTTGTGCTGGCTCCGCCCAGAAGAGCTGCATTGTCTGCCTTGAGCTTGTGGCGCTGTTCTAAGGCCAATAGTCCAGGACTTCCACATGCTTCTTTCTCCAAGACCATCTGGTATACTGCATTGGTCCTTTTCCCCAAGTCAATGCTTTCTGAAAGCTGTAAGGTCGCCTCGGCTTTCCCTATTCTTGTTGTAGATGAGCCCCTTTCATGACGAAGTGCCAGGAAGTGCCACGAAATGTATGCTGACGGAAACGTAGCCACCACGGAACCACGAGAGAGGTACGTCAGGCCTGAAGCTATTGGTCAAGGTCTCCGCTTCTAAGGTTAGTTTGAGAGATGACTCATGCCCACGTACTTTCAACGTTATCAACACAGGCCGCCCCTAAGGCAGGCCTCAATTGCATAGCGGATGACTTGTCGTTTTAGTGGGGTGTAGTGATTGGGAAAGACGCCGTAAATACTGCTGTCTCACTCCCGTTCTACGTGTATGGGGCGATTTCATCAGGAAACTCGGATTCGTGGTTTACTGTCCCTAAGTGACCGATCCATGGGATCCCAGAGCACCATTGCGTATGCGGGCCTGCATGACTTGGAATAGAAGGACAGTGGTCTGGGATCGAGACGTCAGGAAAGGCGTGTCTGCAGTAGTGTGCTACGCACTGGTGGCTCAGCAAGGTCAGGCAGGTTCGCGGCGCTGCAGCACGGATGGGACATGGCACAGAAAGATGATTGATTGAGCTCGCAAAGACGGTGCCGTAGGAGTAACGAACCAATGGTTAGGTGCTGACCACGAAGCTTTAGTCTAGATAGGCTGGAAGGAGCGATCTGGAGGCGTAGTCATGGTCGCCTGCAGATAGAGGACAAAGGCGGCGTGACCCGGGGGATCCAAATTCGGCGCGTACATGAGGTCGTTGTACATCAGGACATCAGGACATTACGACGGGAGGTAATAATATATACACCATTAGCAGAAATTGCCTGGTCTAGAAGCAGCATGGCGCTTGGGCAGGGCGCTTGACCGTATCGATCCAACCTCCGCCCTCTAGACTAAGTTAGTTACGGAGTAGTAAGTACTTAGAGAAAGACGCGAGTCATTTGCCTTAACCATTGTTGTCCGCTGACTCGCGCCTCGTCATTCACCCGTTTCATATGACTTTTCTTCGTGGGGTGTCACCGCCCACATTATGTTATGGTAGACATTGCTTCATATACCTGTACGGAGACGCCTCGACTTTCATGCCTTACTTGCCACTCTTTTTAACTTGTAGTTGCGATCTTCGCTGGCCTGTCTCTTACGGATTTGCCTCACAAACCCGACTGTCTCTACCAGCTTGCCTGCCTGGCCTTCTGTCTTGCTTACTGGGAAGATTTGATGTCCGGATCCACCCATAATGCCTCTGACCCGCCCTCCAAATCACTTCCACTGGAGATTCACGCCGCCACCAGGTACAGAAGTTCCATCATTCTGGGTGGCCCTTGATCTAGAGCTTAGATGTGCTGAAACTCGAACAGATCTTACCACACATCCCTCAACCGGCTTATAACCTCACGCCTCCCGCTCTGTCTCCCACCTTGTGCATGGGAGGCATCTACATATCTACATGGCATCAGTACCTTTGCTGAGATCTACCTAACTTTTGAAAGCGAATGGATATCCATAGTCTCTTCTACGGCCTCGACAGATGTCTCACTCAGAGCCCAGAACCTCCTTCGAGCTCCCTATCAACCATCTCTCCTCAGATCCGCCAGACTTAAAAACGACCTCTCCCTCCTTTCCCACCAATATGCCAAGCACGAAAGACTCCTACCCTTGACCAACCTTACCGCGCGAATACGCACACGCATCCAATCCCGCCCACACACCCTCCTAGCCTACACATGGATAATGTACCTCGCTCTCTTCAACGGCGGGCGCTGGATCCGCGCCCAACTCCTCTCCGCCGCCAATTGCACCTCACACGAAAGCTTCTGGCCCGACGGCCACTCCGCAGAAGAATGCCTCACCTTCTGGCATTTCGACGGCGATCAGGATGGCGAGGATATCAAGAATGACTTCAAAACTAGATTTCAAGCTGTGGCTGCTCAGCTGAGTAAGGAGGAGCGGCAGGATGTGGTTGGTGAGGCGGTAGAGATTTTCAAGATGTGTGGCGTGATAGTGGAGGATCTGGATCAAGCGTTCGCTGACCAGGACGGAAAGGAGGAGCGGAGATCGGTTACGCCGTCGTCAACGGCGTTATTCATGACGGAACAGCTCTACGGCATCCTGACTTGGATTTGCGGCCTTGTGTGGGCTGCTGTGAACATCATGGAGAGAGGAGGCGGCCCTGCCGGACACGTGATGGTGAGCAGGGAAGAAGTAGGTGTAGAGAGGCGGTGATAGCATGGTGCTTCTTTGGGCGGCTGCTCTGACGAAGACATTGTCATGAGCAATCCTGCATCTTGTGCTTTTTCAGTCTGCCCCGGATACAGGGGAGTCTATGTTGTACAGGATACCCATTAGATCGGGAAGTCATGGGCTGGCGCTGAGAGATTTTACAACAATCGAGACATTCAGTATCATACTTTTAGTTCGTATCTGCTAGAATCATTATATAAGACCTAGAAAGACATCAGACGAGGTTAAAGTAAGTAACAAAAAAAGAAAATCCAAAAGCTCAGCCACAAAAACCCTCTGCTAGCCCAGATGAACAGGACCAGAAAACCCTCGTCCCATCTCACAGATGCGCCCTCACGCCTCCCTCAAACTTCCCAAGAGTCTTCTCTTCCTCTGCACTCCAATCTTTCATCTCAGCCCTTTTCCGACCACCGACCACAAACCCCGCGAAATACTCCTCCAGCGCCTCCACCGTTCCCCTCCCCTCCACCAATCTAACCACACACCCGACATGCCCATCTGGCCTTACCACCACCACCCCTCCCGCTCCCTTACCATCTCTATTCTCGACCTCCAACCCCACCTTCGCATGCGCCGCCGCCTGCGCATCAGGAACCCTCTTATCCCATATATCATCCGCGTAGACATGGCTGGAATAATCCTGGAATAACTCCGGCAGGTCTGCAATCAAGATGTCCGCTCTCTTCGCCGCTATGGTAAGACAGATACTGAAGAAGCGCGAGTGGGGGTTATGCAGTTCGTGGTGTAGGTCGGCAGATTCGGCGGAAACGGTGGAGAAGCGGGCGTAGAACGATTGGGGGCTCTGCAGGTATAAGGAGAGGTCTTTGAGCGCTTGTTTGCTTGTTTGGGGTTTGCCGGCAAAGACAAAGAAGCGGAAGGAGCCGTTGAACGGGATTTCGTTCTCGAGGTGGACGACGTTGGCGTCGACGACACGGGTTACGGTTGCCGGGGGGAGGATGCGGCCGGGTGTGCATTTGTTGCCTGGAGGGTTGAAAAGGGAGGAGGATGTTGTGGACGGGAGGGACGATGACCAATTGAAGAGATTTGGTTGGTAAGCGACACCGAAACCGGTGGTGAATTCGCAGTTGGCTTTGAAGGTTTCGACGAACTGGTTTTTCTCCTCTTTGCTTGTGGAAGGAGAGGAGACATGGTTGTTGGCATGGCCGACTTCGGAGGCTGAGGGATGGCGTTGGGAGAAGAGCTTTGCGTATTGAGCATCAAAATTGAGAAGCGTCTCGGCTATGAGCTTGCGCTCGCTTTCATACGTCTCCAGAATGGAGCGGTCGGCGAAGCCGGCTTCCACGTGATGGAGCTTCCAGGCGAGGTTGATGGCATCGTGAAAAGCGGTATTCATTCCTTGGCCGGCTTTTGGGGAATGTGTATGGCAGCAATCTCCGCCCATGAAAATACGATGATCGACCGTGTACTTTTCGGAGATTCCCTGCCCAATAGGATAGATGGAGTACCATTCAACCCGATCCCAGCTAATCTCATACGGCTTGAGAATGTTCATTGCTGCTTGCTGCACTTCTTCGACAGTAGCCGTCTTGCGAGGGTTCCAGTCTTTGTCTGTTGACGAAGCTATCTGGATGTACAGGCGTACCATGTTGGCTTCTCGAGGTATGACCATGATCGAGCCGTAGTCAGAATGGATTGTGCATTTCATTTTGATGTCTGGGAAGTTAGTCCGTACCACACCGTCCATCACGCCCCATACATGTGCTACTGGATCCTTATGCTGGAACTGAATGCCGAGCTGTTCGCGGACAAAGCTACGAGCGCCCTCTCCGCTGAAGAGATATTTTGTGTGGACGTGCTCGACTACATTGCTATCCAGGTTCTTGAGGTGCACTGAAACTGGATAAGTATTGTCCCTGCCATCGTTCTCAAATCTGGTGATTGTCCATGGTCTGTCAACTCGAGTACCATTCCTGGCCAGGTCGTCGATAAAGACTCTTTCAACGAGGCCTTGATGTAGTAACGCCGTGAAGGGGTATCTTGCATCCAAGAAACTCGGACAACTGGGCCAAGTACCCGTTCTCACAATTCCATTGTTGCTGGGATCCCAGAAAGCCACTTCATAGACCTTGGCGGGATCGTGTGCCATGATCTTTCTCTTCAGTCCCAGATTCTTGAGGACCTCAAGCGACCTAGGCTGGATACCATCAGCTCTTCCAGTGGCGGTTGGGACTGGTCGATTGTCAATGTGCTTGATTTTGTATCCCCATCTCGACAGACACACGGACAGCAATAAACCCACGGGGCCGGCACCAATAATCACGATGTCAAAATAAGTATTGGGTAGCGCCATGTTTGCAGATCGGGTGGCCGCCCTGGGCTGCTCTCCTTGGAGTAGAAACCGACCAAAGAAAAACAAGAATTAGGATTAGATTGCACAAAAAGTGAATAAGGAAATGGATAAAGTAAAAGAGTGAGAAGTAGTAGAATGGAGAGAGCTCAGATTGGAAACACAAGAATAACTTATAGTTGTCTACATGATCCTGTGAGGAGTAACGGATACCAATAACGGCAGGGGACACAAACTTAACTTGGGACACTGAGAGTACTTGAACAAGGTCGAGGATCTTTTCGGTACCGGAAGAGACAGGGAGGATATACAGAACATATGATCTGATTGATCCAGCATTAATTGAAAAAGAGCAAGCAACTGCGTTCATTTCATCCAGCAGGTTGCCATTGCACCAAGCGAATCATGATTACCAATAAGGAACTGGCCTGGAGAATACGCCCTGCTAAGTAAGCCAGAATCACGATGGAGGGGAGGCCTTGAAAATGGAGGAGATGGAAGAGGAGACGGACCGGAGGACTCGGGACCCTTGAAGGCAAGAAGCTTTCCCCGCACATAACCGGTATTGATCTCGGCAAAATCAGTGGTACATCACAAAAAAGTCCGGATTCTACCCCACTTCTACACCAAAAACCGCACTTTTCAATGCAACGTTTCTTGAAAACTACTGTTCAGAAGAATACAAGCTTGTAGATTCAAATAGAATTTATTCTCTCATTCTTTATATACCAAGTTTGAATCATTCAAAGTTCTGCAGGCTCAACAATCTACAATTGAAGTCATGTGAAAAACTTTAATTTTTTGTATGAGACATAAAAAGATTCAGGGTTTTCACTTCAACTGACTTTATTTACCTGCCATAATATATCTTAGTCATAAAAACATTTGTATGAGAAAAGTCTTTCCTTTGATAACTTCTATTCACCAAAAAATTATTGAAATTACTACTCTGGAAATTAAGTATTGTGCGTCCCAAAAGTGTTGCAAT